TTTTATATAGCAGTAGCAAAATGGCTAGATTAGAAATTGGAATGTCTCCTAAGCAACTACTGAATGGAGATTTTTGATTAACAGGAATGGTTAGAATAGTTAGGAAAGTTGCTACTGAACTGTATTTTAATTTACAGATGATTTGATCAAGACTATATGTGCCCACTTCTTTTTCAAAAGCATCCTAGCCAACCAAGACAATTTACTTAATATTGTTATCCCCCTCGGTGAAATGTTCTCCCCAATGAGATGTGCCAAGAACCATCATGAGCATCCCTTTGGCCCCAGGTAAAATCTTTTAACACCACTCAGTTGGCTAGAGTGTGGTGCTGATGACACCAAGGTTGCAGGTTCGATCCCCACATGGGACTGCATTGCAGGGGGTTGGACTAGATGATCCTTAGGGTCCCTTCCAACTCTACAATTCTATGACTCTATCATCACCCAAGCATTTCACAGATTAGGGTGATCTGTTGATGGCATGTTTTTGCTACAAACATTCCAGAAGTCTAGTCATGTGAAATGAGTCTTCTTCAAGGTGAAGTTCTCCAGGATAAGTGAAGGGCAAAAAGAATAAGGAACAAAGCTCCAGGAACCTGGGGAACTGTAGCATAACCTGCCCAAGCTGTAGCTGCTGTTACAATTTTTAAAAGCAACAGAAGAGTTGGAAAAAGAAGGACAAGGAGGCACAAACACAGAGAGCTGAAAGAAGAGTCAAGGGCCTGTCCTGTAATTTGCCAACCGGCCTGCTTAAAAAAGGAGAAAACTAACTATGCTACCAGGCCTAAGTTCTACTGAAGGACTGAGCAGAAAGGAGCCACATGCAAGGCCTGAGGAGAACTGTAGCTTCTGGAGACAGCTTTTGGACCACAGGCTGCTGAACACTGAACTGTACCACTTTGCCTTTGGAAAGAGTTCCTTGCAGACATAGGGGTGCTTTGAGCAGGGCAGAGGATAAATTGCTTACCCTGCTTTCTTTTAACCCACATGTTCCCTATCCTTTGTACATCCTTTCAACCTACAAGTTCCTTTGCTCATCCATTTCTTTTTTAGAAGCTACCTAGCTCCTTATTAAATCCCATATGCCCAGCCGCATCACAAATTATTTGGCCTTCCAGACATTTTCTGACACGGCACAAAATGTGCCTAGCTGCATGTTAGAATAAACCCTGTGTCGACTGACTGATGATGATAATAATAATAATTTAAAATGCAGCGTAGAAGGTGAGATGTGTGGAAGGTACAAAAATATGAGGGTTCATTCACTTCTTCCTCCACATTGAGCCACTTTAATTAAAGCCAACCAGGTTTTATAGGAACATTGATATATGCGTGGGTGTCCTTTCATAAAGAGGGAATCCAACGGGGCTGTGAGTCAGGCAGTCTGACTGTATGAAATGAGGAAGCTTTAATTATGACAGTGTTCAAATTAAAACTATAGAAAACGTGTCGATAAAACGCAATGGCTTAAAGTAATTGCTTGTTTTATATGGGATTCCCTTTAAAAACTGGCAAGTGGTTGGATGCAAAACTGCATTCCAGTTAAGTATAAAGTATAAACTTAGTAAGTTGCATAAACAGAATCACATCTAGGGCACATCATGCAGCATGAAAAGGGAAGCCTGGGGATAAATCCTTTGGTCTCTTGATTGTTCTGTTTTTAGCAACTTCACAACCACATGCATCCTGCTCTCCATCACACAAATGCCACTGATAGCGCCACATTAAAGCTTTCATTCTATGCCTGGAATAATCATCAGCCAACATTTTATTCCTTAAAAAAACTTTTTTAACAAGCTGCTTTTTAAAAAACGTTCTGTTTTTGCTCTTTTAAAACTAGTAACAAACTCTGGTAATTCAGATTTACTGAGATCGTGAATTGCTTTATTCCTTTTTTTTAAAAAAAAAATAGCTTCTGTTCAAGAACATACTCTGGCACAACATGCAGATGTTTTGAACCAGGTTGATGATCAATAAAAATTGTGAATGAAATTGAAAAATAGCAAGCCAGCTACTACTATAGAATTGCACAACAAGAGTTCTTCAGAATATTCTGACAGATGGATAGCTGCAGCGGTGCCAACTTGAATAAAATATTGGGGGGTGGGTAAGTACCGGTATTTTTTACTCCTTTTTTAAAAAAGGTACTCCTTTAAGATTTTTATCTTTCCTTTTCTGCTTTGTTCTCGCTTTTGTTTTGCTCTGCTTTTTGTATGTTTTTTAATCCTCTACACTGGTTAATGAGAGGTTTGCATATATATGAAGGTGATGGGAAGGACCCTCTGCAAGAGGAGGGGAAGGGAAGATCTCTCAGGGTGGGGGGGTGGAAAAAGGAAGGGAAGTTCCCAGGTGAGAGCTGGTAGGGTTTATTTCTTTCTGTGTGGGGCAAATTAAGATCTACCTGTTGAATGGTTTCTTTAAATGTAAAGGTTCATCACTGTTCCACCCGATGTGTATGTCTTTAAGGGGCCAGAGCAAGGGCCAGAGCAAAATAACGAGACCCAGCTTTACAGCTGTGAAACATAGCAGGTGCTGCTGAGTTGTATTGATTAAGCTGTGTTGGCAATTGGGTGTAGTATATAAGGAGCAGCACCTAGCTCTCCCATTACCCTGGGGGATGGGTTGGTGGTTGGGTCTGGTTTGTTGTTGATGTATTTAGTGTTTAAGGGGTTTTTGTTTTTGTAATTAAAACCTTGTTTAAGTTATTTTTGAGTCCCTTTTTAATGCATGGTCTCCCCAGCAAGCTCTCTGCAGCGCTACCATATTGCAAATAGCCAACATCTTTGGTTATGGGCCCAGCTGCTGAGTGGATGACTGCATATTTTTGGACTCTGAGAAAGGTTTGAAAACTCCTTCTCCTGTTGGCATAGTTCTGTGGGTCTGGAAGAGTTCCAGAATGGTTGACTGGGTTCCTGAAGCTGAGAAGGCTCTGGTCTTCCCACAGCTGACAGCTGAGAGGACTTTGCATACTTCTCTCGCTCTGTGTTTAGATTAGTTTGTTTTTTAATTGTATCGAACTATGAAAGGTCTAGGAGGGATGCGGGTGGCGCTGTGAGTTAAACCACAGAGCCTAGGGCTTGCTGATCAGAAGGTCGGAGGTTTGAATCCCCGCAACGGGGTCAAAGTGTAAGTATATAAATAGGTACCGCTCCGGCGGGAAGGTAAACGGTGTTTCCGTGCGCTGCTCTGGTTCGCCAGAAGCAGCTTAGTCATGCTGGCCACATGACCCGGAAGCTGTACGCCGGCTCCCTCAGCCAATAAAGCGAGATGAGCGCCACAACCCCAGAGTCGGCCACGACTGGACCTAATGGTCAGGGGCCCCTTTACCTTTACCTTTTATGAAAGGTCTTGATAAAATCTTTATTTAAAGAAAGAGAATTGCACAACATGGCTGTGTAACAGGCTCTGCACTGCATGGTAACACCCAATACAGTACATCCTCCAAAGGTGTCTTGCGAGGGAAGCAGCTTTGGGCTGTGTGTGTGTGTGTGTGAGAGAGAGAGAGAGAGAGAGAGAGAGAGAGACTCTTGCATGAATGAATTGCTGCATACCCTTCTCTGGATCCAGCCATAACCCCCCCCCCCCATCAAGGAAGAGATACTTCTGTGCAGAAGCAGATGGTTGTGGTGGTCTTCTCACAAGCATCTGGTGGAACAGAGTGCTGGACCAGATGAGCCTTTGGCCAGATCCAGCAGTGCTCTTCTTATGGCTCTGCTCATATCCAGTGAGAGCAGAGATGCTCATGGGCCTCAACACTGCAATGCTCATTGGAGCCCTGCTGACTGGGCTGGATTCATGGCACAGAGACCTCATATGGGGCCACTGCTTGCTACTCATTTACCTACAGCAGGCTTCCTCAACCTCCGCCCTCCAGATGTTTTGAGACTATAATTCCCATCATCCAACCACTGGTCCTGCTAGCTAGGGATCATGGGAGTTGTAGGCCAAAAACACCTGGAGGGCTGAGTTTGAGGAAGCCTGTCCTACAGGTTGACCAGGGATAGTCCTTTCAACATAATTGGGACTTCTGAGTAAGTATGGAGAGGCTGAGGCTACATGAGCCAGACCCACCAATTTTCCAGGGACAGACCCAAATTTACAGAAGCCATCCCAGTTTCTGATTTGATCCAGGAATGTCCTGCTTTTCCTTAGAACGTCCCTCTTCCCATCAAAGAAATGTTGGAGAGTATGGAATTATGCGACCCCTGAGCCAAGGAGATAACCTTTAGAAGACATCTGAAGACACAGCCCTGTATAGTTTCATTGTGTTTTTATATATATTGGAAGCTGCCCATAGTGGCTGGGGCAACCCAATCAGATAGACGGGATATAAATAATAATTTTTTTTATTATTATTATTATTATTGAATAGCATATATTTTTTTGAGAAATGTCGGAAGGTATGCATGAGCGAAATTATATGCACCCTTATTTATGTAATTCATTACATGCTGTCCTCTGGCAAAACAAACTCCCAAAACATTATGGGCCACCTTGCAGGATAAAAAAAATAATAAATTAAAATGACAATGCGGTATTGTGCAACTGTACAAAATTGTGCAGCGCAAGATAAAAGATGAGGACAGATTATTAAAGGAACTAGTAAGCCTCACTGGAATCAATGGGATTCACTTCTCCGTAATAATTGGCAGCACAGGAGAGCAATTATGGGGTGGGGTGAGGGGGGCGCATCCGCCCTCATAGCAATCTTTACTCAGAAGTAAGTCCTATTGTGGTCGGTGGCGTTACTCCCAGGTAAGTGTGCACTGGCTCAGCCTCCGCGATCTGGTTTCAAATGCCTATTAGAGAGGCGGTGGGTGGGAGGGAGAGGTCGCCTCTCGTGCCCCTCCGGCCCGCGGCAGCCCCTCCGGCCCCCCGATCCCTGGCTTCTCCGCCCCCCCCCCCGCAGCCCCGCCCCGGACTTCCTCGCGGGGAATCACCTCTTCGCTGGCTTCTCGGGCGGCTCCTCCCCTTCTCGCTGAACGCCGCACGTGGGGCTTGGCCGAGAGCCGGGCGAAGGAAGGGAAGGTGTGCGCTGCCGCCGGGGCTGGTCTCTCCCGCGCTCGAGCAGCCGCCAGCGGGCACCTCCGGCCCCGGGATCCCGACCGGTCCAGGAGGGATGCTGATGTGCCTTTAGGAGCTGCAGCGGAGGAGGCGGCGGCGGCGGCGGCAGCAACCGGCTTGGGGGGGGGGGGGATGATGGCCACCCCTGTGGCGGCAGGTTTGCGGAGCAGCGCAGGGAGGGTTGCGGTGGAGCGCCGCGGAGGACTTTCCCCGAAGGGCGGCGGGGGTCGCCGCCTCGGAGAGCTCGCCTTCTCGCCTTGGCTCACGCCAGCGCCGCCCCTCCTCTCGGCTCGCCTCAGGGAAGACAGGTAAACCTGGCCGCTTCGGGAGCCTGGTGGAAAGGGGGGAGGGGTTCAAGTACAAAAGAGGGGAATCCTTTCAAGTTAAGGGATCCTAGGTAGGGAGCAAAGAGGGCGGCTCAGAGCCCCGGGAGAGCTACTGGAAGAAGCCTCCATGGGCAGGGGGAGTGTATCTTAAGGATGTCAAGAGGGGAAGAGGACAATTGCCGAGATGTCTGCTGGTTAACACTGGAGGCGTCGTGGATGGATGTCATGGATGCTTCAGTTGAGATTCCTGCATTGCAGGGGGGTTGGACTGGATGACCCTCGGGGTTCCGTCCTGCTCCACAATTCTATGATTCCATGCTGGGTCATAGGGAGGGTGGTCGGGCTGTGGGTTAAAGCACAGAGCCTAGGACTTGCCGATCACAAGGTGGGCAGTTTGAATCCCCGCGACGGGGTGAGCTCCCGTTGCTCGGTCCCTGCTCCTGCCAACCTAGCAGTTTGAAAGCACGTCAAAGTGCAAGTAGATAAATAGGTACCGCTCCGGCGGGAAGGTAAACGGCGTTTCCGTGCACTGCTCTGGTTCGCCAGAAGCCGCTTAGTCATGCTGGCCACATGACCCGGAAGCTGTACGCCGGCTCCCTCGGCCAATAAAGCGAGATGAGCGCTGCAACCCCAGAGTCGGCCACGACTGGACTTAATGGTCAGGGTCCCTTTACCTTTACCTTTTATGCTGGGTTATTAGATGAGCAGGTAGATTCTCAAGAGAAGACTCTCTCTGGCGAGCAGGGGGAAAGTTCATTCGTTTTAGAGCAGGGGTGGACAACATGGTGGACAACTTCCAGTTTGGGCTACAGCTCTCCTAATCTCTGGCTTTTGGCCATCCTGGCTGGATCTGCTGGTAGTCATTCCGGCATCATCTGCAAGGCCACAGCCCCCCTCACCTTTTTTTTTAGGGCCTCCCTCATCCTTATTCACCCCCCCCCCTGCCCAGCAAGAATCAGAGCTTGCAAGCCTTCCCTTCTGAACAGGTGATCTCCCCTTGGGCTTCTGTGGGCCAAAGAATCTCTGGCAGGGGCCCTGTCTGAACTAGGTGAAACTCAAGGCAAAGAACTTGGGTGCCTTTGAACAATTGGGGGAAGGTTGACATCAGCACAGAACTGCTAGAAATTTTTCGGAGGCCTGTGTAATTATATATTCAATTCGATTTTGGAAGTAAAATTGGGTTGAAGGTACGGTATGTGGTAGAAAATCCCATCAAACTGTCACTTTGCGTGGATTTTTAAAAGTTACTATTTCAGTGGGTTTTGTGATTGGCATTCTTTTATGTTAATAACATTTTCCACACTCAAGGGTGGGGCACTCTATTGCTAAATCTTACCTGGGGAATAGAGAGTACTGGGTTCTGTTTACCATGACAAAAGAGCTTTCTGACAAGGAGCCAAGTGACAAGGATAATTTTCTGAAAGTGAATTGAGGCATCATTGTTTCATGTTCACTTTTGTCATGCTTAATGAGACTGGGGCTGCTTCCAGACCACCTGATTTGTTTGCACTGAACTTCTTGGGGAGATCAGGTGATAATTGCTACCTATGGAGCATTCATTCTGATATGTGTGTGGGGAGATTAGACGATATTCCATCAAGCAGCTTGTGTTATTCCACTTTACAGGGCTTTTCCCATATTGCAAAATAAGGCATAAGGCATTTCCTTATTGCAAAAAGTCTGACTTGTGTGTTGTGGAGGGAGAATGGTTGTGCATGTTGTGTTGGTTCAGGGAGAAAACAGTACTGTACATACCCCAGGCCTTCAAACAAAACCTTGCTTTATTATAACATAACTAGACGGAGGGAAAAGCTCCACCCAGCAGCTAGAATGGGGCAAAAACTACAGGAGGCCAGCTGGCCCAAAAAGACCAACCAAACCCATCAGCATACACAACAGTAGATGAGTTTCAAATTAATTTTAACTTTGCAACCTGAATTTATTGGTATGTGATTGGATCCCCCCCCTGAAAAAGTGGCAGTCTGAAAACACCCAGGTTCTTCCAGTAGCATTCTCTTTAGACTTGCATTTTGACTGTTTAAATTAGATGGGTTATACAGACTTATTTGTATATGAAGACATTTGTTTATTTGACATTTGAGATTTCTCGCAATCAAGCAGTATATAAATTCTATGTTTCTTTTATTTATTGAGGCTGTATTGTAGTAAAGTAGTCAGATGGATTTATAATTGCGTACATGTAAAAAGGCAGAATAAATTATTCTGTTGAATTTTCACTGTCTGCTTATTTATGAAATTAATAAATGCAGAAACTTTCCTTATGGGCCATAAATCTTCCAGATGCCTAGCAGGTAAAGAGCAACAGGAAAGTTAAAGAGTAACTTTAAAGCAGAATCGTCAGTATTTATGGTGCTGATGGTAATGGGTAATCAGCACAACTGCGTTTTTATTGTTCTAAAAGCTTTAATGGAAAAAGATCTTAAACAATGCATTTGAGATTACCTGAAATGTCACTCCTGATCCCTGCCAGGGACAGTTCAAGACATTTTGTGATGGGAAACATAACATTTGAATGGTGCCAAAATTTGCTGACCATCAATGGAAGTCCCTTGTATTATTTGCCTCCTGAACTAGCTCTCTTATACTGGTTCATACTAGGGCTAGCCCTGGATTGTGTTCATATTAATTTGAATTTAAATGGGATTTACCCAAAGTAAGTATGCAAGCCTAAAGTTGCCCTTTTATGCAGTCATATTTTGGAATGAGCCCCATTGAACATGGTGGATCTCACTTCAAGAGATCAAGCAGAATGTTTGTGATCCTCATAAGTTAACGATTAACTATGGTTGGTTTCACTTGAACTTTTTACAATATAATTCCTTGTAAGGATTAAGACTGTAACTTCAAGCTTACCCAAACCAGAAGACATCACTGGAAATTGTTCTATGGTGCTTAAGATTTTTGTCTCACCCTTGAACCTGCATTGTTTTGACTTTGAATTGGCTAAGTCATTAATGAGAAATGGTGGCCAACGATAGCCAATATTCTAGCACTGTTCTTGTCACAGAAGCAATTACTGTTTCCTTTATAGAAAGTTATTTCCCAGAATCTATGAGATATTTTAGCGGATCAGGTTTTGGGAGTGACTGTGCAAGCTTTGAAAGTGCACAGAACTCTTCATCGGGCAGAACTGAGCAGCAACTGCCTAGTTAGGTTATTTGCTTACTTATTTAATTTCATCCCATTTATGAATAACTTCCCATGAAACATCTCAAAGTAATTAATAATTTAAAAATCATAAAATCATCAGCAGTAAAAACATGTAAAAACAAGTTTGTATCCAATCTAGGATACACTTAAGATAGACTTAAAAGGATTGCTGGAAGTGAAAGGGTGTTCAGTAGCCCCTGAAAAGACAATAGAACTGGTGCTTATTGAATTCATAGATTCATAGAACTGTAGATTTGGAAGGGACCATGAGGGTCATCTAGTCCATCCCCCTGCAGTTCAGGAATCTTTTGCGCAACATGGGGCTCAGACTCATGACCTTGAGATTCAGAATCTTGCTACCTTTAAAGTCTGCCTAATGAAATCTCTGCCTCTTTCAGCTTTACATTTTTCCCTTCACAAACATTTTTCATTTCTTGTATTTTTTGCATTTTAGCTTGGAATTAGAGAATTGTTTTGTATGAACTATATATTATTATCTCTCAACGTAGGGGGAAAAAGACAGAACTTGATGTACTAGAAATCCCATCCATACCAAATCCCTTCCCAGAGCTTTGCTGCTCTCCGTTTACATCTGTTTTGTCAGCCAGCCTGTTGCCCAAGGCAAATCCCAGGATAAAACAGGTAAGCCTTACTCAATTCTGACAGTTAAAGTGCGAAAGAAAACGATGTTTTCCCCCTCAAATTGTCGAGAAAACTACTCCAGTACATAAAACTGAACACATTCAAAATATTGAATGATTTTGTTTTGCTTTTGCAGTTATCACAGTAAATGTTTTCTTGTTTGTTCACTGCCGCAAGCTTCCAGTGTAGTAGTAGTACAGTGGTACCTTGGGTTTAGTACTTAATTCGTTCCAGAGGTCCGTACTTAACCTGAAACTGTTCTTAACCTGAAGCACCACTTTAGCTAATGGGGCCTCCTGCTGCCGCCGCGCCGCTGGAGCACGATTTCTGTTCTCATCCTGAAGCAAAGTTCTTAACCTGAAGCACTATTTCTGGGATAGTGGAGTCTGTAACCTGAAGCGTATGTAACCTGAAGCGTATGTAACCCGAGGTACCACTGTAGTAGTAATAATAATATCTATTTTGTTTGAATGGTGAGTTTCACTGAATTTGATGTTAGACTCATTTGCTTCCTTCTGCCTATACAAATCTCCCATGTCGTAGGCCAGGGTTGGGACTCTGTTATCTCTCCAGATGCTGTTGGCTCCAGCTCTCATCAGCACAGCCAATGGCCATGGATGATGGGAGTTGTAGTCTGTAGCAACATGTAGAGGCCTGCTGGTTCCCCATCCCAAATATAGACTGTTAGATTCTGACACCTTCAACACTCTTCTTAATCATATCTTTATTCAGTAAAGCTTTGTGATCACCCAGGGAAATAAGGAGGCGAGAAATAAGCTTGGGTGAACTGGGCTACTTTTATTAATTTAATGATAGCAGATCTGAAGTAGGGAACCATCATCTAGGATACTGATTAGGTCTGGTTTCCAACATCATGGTATACCTATATATCATGATGTCTGAAATAAGGATGTAGAGGCAAACAGGGTGATGTCTTGGCGACTGCCACTACTTAGGGGTAAAAAAAAAAACACGGATCCATTTTCACTTACTTTTAACCTATTGTTACAACTGTTGCAACAGGGGCAGCAGGAATCATGAGAGAAGCAATGACCGGTTTTTCCCACATCATGGTTTTGTACATAGCACACCCATACGTTGTGATCTGTGATACATTGCCATGCTGAATATTATGAAACTGTTACCACGATGTCCTGCCCAGAGGCCAGGGAATCCAGATGATCACAGAGCCAAGGGAGAGCAGGAAGCAGCAAGACAGGGCCAAGAACTACAGGCATTGTTACCAGCATCTGACTGCTGCTGGAAGCTCTGCTTCAGAAGACTGAAGCCAGCTGGTTCTCATCAGCACCTCCTCCACTGTGTCCTTAATGGCTGATCAGCTGCAGGTGGAGTCACTCTGCCTTCTCCCCCTTCAGGCTGCTGTTCAGCAGGCGAAGCTGACTCCTGGCTCATGACAGGGAAGAACTATTGCCATAATTCAGGCATAGGCAAACTCGCCCCTCCAGATGTTTTGGGACTACAACTCCCATCACCCCTAGCTAACAGGACCAGTGGTCAGGGATGATGGGAGTTGTAGTCCCAAAACATCTGGAGGGCTGAGTTTGCCTATGCCTGCCATAATTGTTGCTGTTACGGTAACAATGTAAGTTAGCCCTCAGTTCTGATTTTATTATAACTAAACAATTCTTAGGGGAAACTGGTATTTGAAACCCTATTGCAACAGCATGGCTCTTTCTTATTTGTCATCCTTTTTGTAAATTGATTTACCTTTTCCTCATAAGGAAGGTATCATAGCCCCTCAGTTATTTTAGTTTCCCCTCTCGGTGCCTTTTCCAACTTTTGGGGACAGGACAAGCAGAACTGTAAAGGAGATTCCAAATGTGGCTACATCATAGGTTTGTTTAACAAAAATATTATCTGCTATCTGGTTTACTGTCTCTCCGCTAATAATCCTTAGCATGGAATTTGCTATTTTTTGCAGCTGCTGCACATGGAATTAGTTCTTTCTTGACTTAGCTACCACAGCCCCTTTCTGATTGCCTCAATTTGCATCCCTTTATACTTAATTAAACTGAACCTCATTTGCTATTTAATTGGCCATTCACCCATTTTGGAGAGAAGCTTTTGAATCTCTTTGCAACCCCCTTTTGCTTTTACTGCCCTGAGTTATTTGGTGTTACCAGCAAACTGCTCGCTCCTTCCAGGTCAATTAAGAACAAGTTAAAATGCACGGGTCCCAATGCAAAACCTTGGATCTGCTTCCCAAAGTTGGTTCTACTCTTTGCTTCCTGATCTTAAACCAGCAACTAGCCTACAGAAGACCTGTCCTCTTGTCCCATGACTGATAAAGTTAATTCAAGTTAATTGTGAAAAAACCATTGGAAGCCCAGGTATATAATGTTTACATCCACATGCTTGCTGACACTGCTGAGATAGAATGTGCTTTCAGCTACCCTCTCATTGACTTGGTAAGTACAGTTTTGTTTACAACAAAAAAGAACATACCACACATGCTTTGAAACAGTGGGTTGTGGAAACAGCCAGAGGGGACCCTGTCGCAAGCGGTGCCCTGGATCAGATTCGAGCTAGAAGTTCTGTTGAACTCACTGGGAACAGTGATGACTGTGAGATCAAATTCAATGTATACAAGTGGAAAGTTGCCTAGAAAGTCCAGCTTGGTTACATTTGATTGCGAAAGCAAAAACTTCTCAAAAAATGAAGGGATTAGTTAAAAGCAGGTCAAATGCTTCCAGAGTCCTTGAAGGTGTAAAGTGTGACTTGGTGAGAGTTGGGAGAGTTTTCTTAAAACAAAATCTCATACTGTTGGAAGGTATACAAAATGTGAAGGCTAGTGTACAGTTGTTGATGAAGTCTTTTGTGAGGGATCTCCATCTATCTTGCCTTTCTGTGGATTGTTTCTCAGTCTCTTCACTGAGGCTTACTCTCAGGTAAGGGACGATTCTTTGCACATTTATTTAGACGTAAATCCCATGGAATGAAGTAGAACTTCTTAGTAAGCGTGCCTAGAATTGCAGTACATAGGAATTAGTGAGTCTACATTAGAGTCTTAAGGGAGGATTGGCGGGAGGGGGGGAGCGGGGAAGCGGGGAGAACATTCTCTTGAGCAAGCAGAAATCCTTTTCCTGATGGAACATTCCCGCGTTGGATAAAACTCTGTGGGCGAAGTCCAAGCTTCTGGCAGGCAGCAGGAAGGCTTAAAAGAGCAGTGAAGCGGCTGCCATATTTAATAGCCTTAGGCCTGGGTAAAGAGAAATGTTTTTGCTTGGCGCCTAAAGACATGTAGTGATGGCACCAGGCAAGCCTCTCTGGGGAGAGCATTCCACAATCGGCATGGAGGACATAGAGAAGGGTCTCGGATGACAAGCGCAGGGTCCGGGTCAGTTTTAATGGGGAGAGGTGATTCCTAAGGTATTGTTGTGAGTTGGGGGGGGGAGTTAAGTCTAGATATCATCTTTGGGATCTTGCCCATGATTTTATAACTCCAGGATTATATTCCCTCAAAGAAAAAGCTGCCAAAATGCTCAGACCTGTCAGCCAAGTATGCTGTGTTTGTTATGTTGAGTCATAGAAACTTACGGAGATTTGGGGGACGGGACATGATGTCATAGGAGACTTTAATAACAATAGGGCTGGCGGTCAGTGTGGTATCTGGGAGCTGGAAGAGATACAGACCCCTGGCTTGCTCTTTGTGCAGAAACCAAATCTATGGCTTGGAAAGGGGCCCTGAGGGAACAAGATCTGTGGGGAGTGTTAATGCTGTTTATCACAAAGGCACCGCAGCCATGACCTTCCTTCCAGGGAGACCCAGCCCAAGGAATGTGCCGAGACCCTTGGGAACTCTCACCGCTCGGGGATTGGGGCCTGCACAGCCGTATTTCAATATGCCTCTATTTTCAGCGGCACGGCGGTTGCTTTGGGACACAATGAATTAAAATAAATCAGCGGGGGGGGGGGGTGAATAGAAGGATGAATCTTGCTTTGGTCAAAGATAAGCTAGCTGTGACTTCCCCACAATAAACAGTTCAAGGCAAAGTGGGCTACCTTGGAACACGATTGCAAGTGCCAAAACAAAACTCAAGGGTATTTAAAGCCAGGAACATTTTCTTCTGCGGAAACATTTCTCTGCATGTTTATCTCACTCTTAGTTGTTCATAATTTGTAGATAATTTCATCGCAATAGACCAAATAAACCCCATGGTTTATTTTAGAAAAACTGTTGACTGAACCTCGGTGCTGACTAATGCTAGAATGTAGCCAGATACTGGGAACTTTGAAAGAACGTATGGTACAGGACATTTTTTTTGATACAGATTGTTGCTCTCTGCCCTCACCCACCCCAACCCTTCAGTGTGAAGTCTGGAACTCATGGCAAGTACAGTGGTACCTCAGGTTAAGTACTTAATTCGTTCCGGAGGTCCGTTCTTAACCTGAAATTGTTCTTAACCTGAAGCACCACTGTAGCTAATGGGGCCTCCTGCTGCTGCCGCACCACTGGAGCACGATTTCTGTTCTCATCCTGAAGCAAAGTTCTTAACCCGGGGTACTATTTCTGGGTTAGTGGAGTCTGTAACCTGAAGCGTATGTAACCTGAAGCGTATGTAACCTGAGGTACCACTGTATAATATTTGACTTGAGGTAAGAAGAACAGAAGGGATGCGGGTGGCGCTGTGGGTAAAACCTCAGTGCCTAGGACTTGCCGATCGTATGGTCGGCGGTTTGAATCCCCGCGACGGGGTGAGCTCCCGTCGTTCGGTCCCAGCTCCTGCCCACCTAGCAGTTCGAAAGCACTCTTAAGTGCAAGTAGATCAATAGGGACCGCTTTATAGCGGGAAGGTAAACGGCGTTTCCGTGTGCTGCGCTGGTGCTGGCTCGCCAGCTGCAGCTTCATCACGTTGGCCACGTGACCCAGAAGTGTCTTCGGATGGCGCCGGCTCACGGCCTCTAGAGCGAGATGAGCACGCAACCCCAGAGTCGGACACGACTGGCCCGGGCAGGGGTACCTTTACCTTTACTTAAGAAGAACAGAATTGTCTCATGATTATCTTAGTCCTGGGTTGACAATGCTACCCATGTTTCTTTTGTATAATGGCAGGCAAGCCTCAAGAAGGATTTAAAACAACAACATGGGGGCAGGGACATGTAGGAGAGGGTTGCAACTCAACTGTGTTGCATGAAGTTTCTAAGTTTAATCTCCAGGTAGGAGTAGCTCTGCTGTACATCGGGAAGGGCTGTGTGGAGAGAGACTCTTCCTTTAAATTCCTAGGAGTTTATCTCAGTGAAGACCTTACCTGGAAAATCAATACAACCCAGGTGGTTAAGAAAGCCCAACAGAGACTCCATCTCCTCAGAGTATTGCAAAAGAACGATGTCAATCAACATTTGATGATCTCCTTCTACTGGTCCACAATAGAAAGTGTCCTTTCATACTGCATCACGGTGTGGTACGCTGGTTTGACATCAACTGATAGGAAGTGCCTACAGAGGGTGGTGAATACAGCACAAGATATTATGGGCTGTCCCGTGAATCCACTGGATGACATTGCGGAAGAACATTGCCTCAGCAGAGTGAGGAAAATTCTCAGGGATGATTCATACACTGGCAGGCACTTTCTTGATCTCCTGTCCTCAGGCAGAAGATATAGAAGCATGATTAGTCGCACCAACAGGGTAAAGAACAGCTTCTATCCGTGGGCTGTTAGGCTACTGAATGAAAAGATAACAACAGGGCAACTGACTTTCGGGTTTGGTGTGTGTGTGTGTGTCAGTAAACGAGGGGAATTAAGACTAAGAGAGCTGAGTGGGGGGTGCTCATGTAATCTCACTGTATACAAGTTGTACAAGTGACAATAAAGTATAAAAGAGGGGGGGGGAATCTTGCCTGAAACCCCCGAGAGCTCCTGCCAATCAGTGTAGACAATACTAAGCTAGAAGAATCAATGGCATGGATCTGTAAAAGGCAGGTTCCTATGTGGGATTTTGGATCAGGTCATCTTTATGTGGGAACCACTATGGGATAGCTAGAATAGGTGGGTCCTGCAACAAAATGTTGCAGTGTGGAATGCTCCCGTTCAGGGTTCCGGCCATTCAGCCATGTGATCTCACTCAGCATTCTGAGCATGCTCAGTCCCCCATTGGGCTGTTCTTGGGTTCTTCCCCCCTTAGGTTTTCATAAAGTAGGGTGAGCAGGAATCACAAGTTAGGCCCATCACATAGAGCTGCTGTTGTAAGGTCCAAGGGACCTTGCATGCATTGGGTTGATTACAAAGATTGGCTGGAACTTCTGTGTAGCCTGCCATTATGTTTCGTATTTGCATGGGAATTGATAAAACTATAAGGGATGGTGGCTTGCAAAACTTAAATAGTCATAGAAGAGCATTGCTGCCTAATGTCTCTGCAAAAAACAATACAACAGATTTTTCTGAAATGTTCCAGATCCTCTGGAGGTTTCTCATATTGATACATACATAGTCTCTCATTTTTCTCTCTCTCTCTTTTAATTGGAAAGCAAACATAACAAGATCCCAGAGTTCATTGTCCTAGCTAAACGGCTACTTTTCTAGTGAATATTTTTAAAAATATAAATGGCCTATGAACTTCAGATTTCTAGCAATTGCTCCTTACGTTAAGGGAGTTTGCCTTTCACACCTGATTCCCTCTCTTCATTGTTGCCTGAATAGGCTGTGACCATGAAGTGCATGAATATTTTCACATTCTTATAATGGAGAAAGTGCTTTGCTTAATTGTTCAGTCTTGCAAATACATTTGGTGAGCTTGAGCAGTTTAGATGATGAGAAATAAAAATAGAAAATGTGCCGAGAACTTATTGAAGTGTAGGTATGGTGCTGACAAAATTACTTGTTGGTTTTTATTTTTAAAATGGCGTACCGTGTAAGGAGCAGCAGGGGTGGGTAGCTTTTACCCGGCAGCAAGTTGGTAGCTTTGGGCAGCTGATTTTGGGCATGTTGACCCTTAGAGTCCGTTCCAACTCTACAATTCTATGATTCTATGAAAGGAAGGTGTCATGTTTCAGGTGCCAGAATAACTTGGCTGGTCTTGGATTCTTTACTCCTTGATCTGAGAGGGTGTTTGTACCTTTTGATTGGTTGGCATCCATCTGTCTCAAGAGGCAGTGGAATGTGCCTCCAGGGGTCAAGTCAAACTTCTGCGTTAGCAGCACTGAAGTGACCAAGCCTGGGCAGTGTGTATGGAGGCCTTGGGCTGCCCAGATGACAAGACCTCCTTCTTGGCCTTGCTGATGTGGTCCAAAGGAAAGCACTGGCTGGACTTCAGGAGTTGTGGGAAGGAGGCACTCAAGGTACCAACCAACCGCCTCAGGGACTCCACTCTGGATTTGTGTAGGCTTTGCTCCTGTGCCTTTTCTTCTCCCAAAGATGTCCCACAAGGCCATTTATGTGCCATTCATTTACTTACTAAAGGTATTTATAATCTGCCCTTCTCCTAAATGTCACCGGGTGGAAATCTTCACAGTTCAAACAAAAAATTAAACAATAAGATTAAACAACTGTGGAGCAAAATACAGACTTCAGCTACAAATATAATCAGCAGCAGCAAAAAATTTAAATGCCCAATGCCCCTTGCTCATCCCTGGAGGCCTAGGCAAGGAGTGCATCTTCTCCTGTCAGTGAAATGACATGAATGTTGTAGTGAGGCACACCACAGAAGGGAGATTGTTCAAAAGGCAAGGGAGGCACTTCAGAAAGAGCCTGTCCAACAGGTCTCTGCCTCACATATTTCATTAGGCATGGGGACCACCAGTAGATCTTAAACTTCACCTGCAGATCTTAAAACTCAGGCAGGTCACCTTAAATTTTAACCTGTTAAATTAGGCCTGAAAGACAATGGGCAGCCAATGCAATTGTTGGCACCAGGCAAATTTCTTTGGGGAGTGTATTGCATATTTAAGGCACCCACTGTGATATTAGCTTTGTGGCGTGAGCTTCTATATTGTACCGTTCTCTGCTATTTCTCCTTGTTAAAACTGGTTTGCTTGTTTTTTTTAAAAAACCTTCAGCATTACTCCATCCCTGCTATACACAAACCTCTGCCATTATTTAAAACCACTATTTTTGTCTCAGTGTTCTTCCATCCCTGTTTACTTAAACTTCTGCCATTGTTTTGAGTATAGCAAGAAGGTAACTGAAATAAAGACACTGGTTTTTTTTAAAAATGGTTGTTTTAAACTTCTCCCACTTCCATTCCTCACCTCTCTTATGCGAAAAAGATAAAGGATACAGAACCCTCAACTATTCCATAGTACCTTCCCACAAAGTATTTCACTCATGGTACCATATGTGTTGTCTTCAACATGAAGTTCCAGATTTTATGTAGTAATTTAGAAGAGATTCTTTTAATTAACAAGCAAATAGCCATATATGTACAATATCCATCAACTGAACTTGTCACCGATATGTTGGTGTCAGTGTGTGGCGATAGAAAGTCAGCTACCATCTTTGTTGTTGTTGTTGTTCAGTCGTTTAGTTGTGTCCGACTCTTCGTGACCCCGTGGACCAGAGAATGCCAGGCACTCCTGTCTTCCACTGCCTCCTGCAGTTTGGTCAAACTCATGCTGGTAGCTTCGAGAACACTATCTAACCATCTCGTCCTCTGTCGTCCTCTTCTCCTTGTGCCCTCCATCTTTCCCAACATCAGGGTCTTTTCCAGGGAGTCTTCTCTTCTCATGAGGTGGCCAAAATATTGGAGTCTCAGCTTCAGGATCTGTCCTTCCAGTGAGCACTCAGGGCTGATTTCCTTAAGAATGGATAGGTTTGATCTTCTTGCAGTCCATGGGACTCTGAAGAGTCTCCTCCAGCACCATAATTCAAAAACATCAATTCTTCGGCGATCAGCCTTCTTTATGGTCCAGCTCTCACTTCCATACATCACTACTGGAGCTACCATCTTAGAAAAAGAAAAAGAAAAAAATCTTGCAAGCCCAAGGTGTATGGTGATCCCATGAGCTACAAATAGCCTGTTAAGACCCTGTGTTTATGAGAGCTCAGAGCTGTGAATAGCTGCAAGCCCGTGATAATGAGGATATAGAAATTCTAGCAAACGTTGGAGAGACATTCCTAAAAACAACAACCCATGCCTCACTTTTCATATTTGCAAGCGCTTAAAGCAGTATAGCAGGAAAGCCTTGAAAACAATTTGTTGTCTTAACAAAATGATGGGAAACCCGTGACTGTTAAGACATTATTGGACTACAAATTCCATTATTTCTGAGCTTAGGTTATGTTGTCTGGAGCTGATCTGAGTCCAGCAATGTCTGATGGGTCACTGGTTCACCCAGACACTGCAGTTTGACATATCTGGGAATTGTAGCTCCGCTTGGAGAATAGGGGTCTCCTAAGAACTCTCAACACCCTTAAACTACAGTTCCCAGGATTCTTTAGGGGAAGCCAGGTCTGTTAACATGAGCCTGGATAACTCAGTTGGTCAGAGCGTGGTGCTGATAATGCCAAGGTTGCAGGTTTGATCCCCATATGGGACAGCTGCATTTTCCTGCATTTCAGGGGGTTGGACTGGATCAGTGTTTCCTAAGCTTGTGTCTCTAGCTGTTTTTTGGACTACAGTTTCCATCATCCCTGACCACTGCTCCTGCTAGCTAAGGATGATGGGAGTTGTAGTCCAAAAACAGCTGGAGACACAAGTTTGGGAAACACTGAACTAGATGATCCTCGGGGTCCCTTCCAACTCTACGATTCTATGGTTCTGTGATAATAGTGCTATAATTTTATGGTGGAGGTGGGACCCCAGATCCACCTGCCCATCACAAGAGGTCTAGGGCAGCCATTAGGGAAGCAGCTTCCCGAGAGCATGGGGCTTGTTGCGTATTATATTATACAGAGCTGTATTCATCTGACAGTTCAGTGAGATGCTGAGCTCAGTTGGACTGAGCCCACAGAGAGCATTGGGACTTTCTTCTGACTCAGTTTCGTTAGCAATGATAGCTGAAATGACCCAATACTAAAGGCAAGGGAAGGGAACTTCATTCCACGAGCTGCAGCAGAGCAGAGGTTGTATTGTGGAAATTTCCAAAACAAAGCAGCCCCAGATTCTGTGCCTAAGCCTCAAGATAATAAAGCAAATGGGTATTTAGTCTAATGCTGAAAGTGATTATATTGTTACTATGGATTTGCTGCTGCTTGACTGTAGTGATATGAGCCAAGGTTGGAGCTGAGTATCTCTTTACTTTGGCAACAAACTGAGAATTGCTGTGCTGTATTTGGCTTTATGGCTTCTGATGTAAAGGTAATTTGACAAGGAGCAAATGTTTGACCCTCCAAGCCAGATTTTTTTTTTAATGACTTTGGCTGGGTCTGCAAGCAGTTCCACATCTTTCACAATCAAAGATGCTGTTGCATATAGAGTATTTGCTCGAACATGCATGCTTTTTGAGGAACATTGATTTTCTTCCCTAGTTGCAATAAACCAGGGAAAGCTTTGAGAGAGCAGCACCTGGGGTACTATATTTGACTATCCTTCTAAATTTTGGTCCCATTAGAAGCAGTACAGAACAATCATTAAACTGACTGGCTACTCAATAAAAGTCTGAACAGCCACTTAGGCCTATTGGCATAAAACAATGTCTTCAAGAGACACTTGAAAGTCTGAAGCAAGGATGCCTGCTGAATCTTTGCTGGAAGAGCATTCCACCAGCATGCAACCAGTGACAATAAACACCTGACTTCTGGTTGAGGTTAGACAAACCTTTGTGACTTGGGGAGGAAACCAACAGTGGTTGTCTACATGATCTTAGTGATCCAGTTGGGATTAAGACTCAGATGGTGCTGAAGGTGTCCTGGACCCAAGTTGTTCAGGCTACTGTATATCAACACAAGAGCACTGAACCTGGACAGGTAATATATGAGTAGCCAGTGCAGACATGTTACATGCTATCAGCCATCTGCATCGACTGGTTGCCTAGCCGCTGCATTTTGGACTAGTTGGGGCTTCCAGAAGCATCAAACTACCACAACAAGTATGTGGATTTGCTAGTATATTGATTTCCCGCAGGATCTTAAAGAGCAACTCCTAAAGTGTATGTGCTGTGTATTAACTACAAGTGAATGACTTCTCATTAGTCATTGGTTGAGCTGATGGGATGTCACAGAAGCCTGGAGACTAGAGTTGTCATAGCTCTGGTTTCAGTTTATTGATCTGACACATGGATGAGGCTGAGCCCAGGAGCTCCATACGCACTGTACAGGCTTGTGCACTGGGGAGGTCACTTCGGTGCTGCTAAGATAGCTGTTTGACTCTCCCCCCTGCAGAGGTGAACTCCATTGTCTCTCGAGACAGATGGAGCCCAACAACATGTAATGCCATAGAGTATTCACAAAGGGAAAAACAAACATTAACCAAAAAGTTCAACACAAGGGGCTTTTGATAATAAAGTCAGAAGAAAAATTAAATATCAGGAGTGAATGAAATGGATAAAATTATAAAGGGGGTATCAAAGCACAGCTTGAATTGTATAATGAAGGAAATGGGAAAAAAAGAAGGTCTTGCCTGTTTATAGCTACTGCCAAATAAGAACATATTTTAAAGGTGTTTGCCACCCCCTGTGTGACTGCAGTGTCCTATTTTTTTAAATAAATAACCTCCAAATGGAGGTGAAATTGGAAGACTCAGCATCACCCCTAGCTGCTTGAATAGCACATGTCAATTTCTCCTAGATAGCAATGAACATAACTTTCTAGAATCAGTTACCTAGCATATAGCACGAAAGGGACACGGGCGGTACTGTAGTCTAAACCACAGAGCCTAGGGCTTGCCAGTCAGAAGGTCGGCGGTTTGTCCGTTGCTCGGTCCCAGCTCCTGCCAACCTAGCAGTTTGAAAGCACGTCAAAATGCAAGTAGATAAATAGGTACCTCTCCAGTGGGAAGGTAAACGGCATTCCCGTGCGCTGCTCTGATTCGCCAGAAGCGGCTTAGTGATTCTGGCCACATGACCCGGAAGCTGTACGCCGGCTCCCTCGGCCAATAAAGCGAGATGAGTGCCGCAACCCCAGAGTCGTCCACGACTGGACCTAATGGTCAGGGGTCCCATGAAGCGTATTTCTAGCTCTGAGTGATTACTAGCTGAGCAGCTACCAGAAGACATGCAATTCACATTATAAGATCACAAACATTTTATATGCTTAAAATAAAAAATTCTCTTGCGGAGAATGTAAGAGACTGTGCTTGCAGTGGGAAATAATGTAGAAAGCTGAGAAGTGCTGAATCTCCAAAGTTTCCTGTGCATTTGCCCAGGAGCAAAAAATTATTATGGAGCAAAAAATGATTCTATCACATTGCACCTTTCCTTGTTGCACAAGGCAAATCACTAGGGAATTATAGTAGGGAATTATATAGGACTATAGTTCATTGGTAGAGCCCCTGTTATCCATGCTGCTGCTGCTTTGGCGATCACCTGTAGCTGAGTAAGATTATCTTCCATGGTCTTAGAGGTGTGTCCGTAAGTGACTGTGGAGGCTAATTCTGGATCCAGACGAAATTGAGAGCAAAACCTAAGTCGCAAGAGATTTTGAGAGAAATAAAATTATATCAAGTACAATATATGAAAATGATCAATCAGGAGATAGAATGGAAAATTAAACAAATGAGACAAAAAACATTTGAGTCGGCTAATAAATGTGGGAAATTGTTGGCTGGGCAAATGAAAAAAAAGACAAAAATTAAATACAGTTACAAATTTAGAAGTGGAAGGAAGGAATATACAGAACCCAGCCGAGATTAGAAATTGTTTCCAGAGGTACTTCAAACAACTATATACACAAGGACCACAGAAAGAAATTGATCTAGATCGATTTTTGAAAACAAATGGATTACAAAAAATCTCTCAGGAAAGTAAATCAATGTTGAACTATAAAATAACTGAACAGGAGATAGAAGGTGCCATTCAGAATATGCAACTAGGTAAATCTCCGGGACCGGATGGACTGACCTCTAAATATTACAGATCCTTAAAAGAATGGTTGGTACAACCTTTGAAGGAAGTCTGTAACGAAATAATGGATGGGAAAAGGGCACCAGAGTCGTGGAAAGAAGCGTATATTACACTTGTACCGAAAACAGAGACTGAAAAGACACAACTTAAGAACTACCGTCCCATCTCATTGCTTAATGTGGATTATAAAATTTTTGCAGACATTCTGGCTAAAAGACTAAAAAAAGTGTTAGTGGAAGAGATTCATAAAGACCAAGCAGGCTTTCTCCCGGGTAGACACTTATCGGATAATGTGAGAAACATAATTAACATCTTAGAAAAATTACAAGTGAACATAAATACTAAAGCAGTTTTGATATTTGTGGACGCGGAGAAAGCTTTTGACAATATTTCCTGGAGCTTTATGAAGAAGAACCTACAGGGGATGGGGGTAGGCCAAGGCTTTGAAAACGGTATAAGTGCAATTTATTCAGAACAAAAGGCTAAACTAATTGTAAATAATGTGGTGACGGAAGAATTTAAGATAGAAAAAGGGACACGACAAGGTTGCCCAATCTCCCCATTGCTTTTTATATCGGTCCTGGAGGTTTTGCTGAATATGATTAGAAGGGACCAGTTGGTTAAAGGTATACAAGTTGGAGCCAAACAGTACAAATTGAGAGCATTTGCAGATGACTTAGTATTGACGTTACAGGAGCCAGAATCTAGTACCAAAAGGGTTTTAGAACTGATTCAAGAATTTGGTCAGGTTGCAGGATTCAAACTGAATAAGTTAAAAACCAAGGTTTTAGAGAAAAATTTAACACCGATTGAGAGAGAGGTTTCAGAATGAGACAGGCTTAACAGTGGTTAAGAAAGTGAAATACCTGGGGATTAACATGACAGCAAAAAATGGGAATTTATTTAAAGACAACTATGAAAAATGCTGGGCCGAAGTGAAAAAGATTTAGAAATTTGGTCAAATTTGAAGCTTTCACTGCTGGGTCGTATTGCTGCGATAAAAATGAATGTATTGCCTAGAATGTTGTTTTTGTTTCAAACATTGCAAATTGTGGACAAAATGGACTGTTTCAAGAAGTGGCAGAGAGATATTTCTAGATTTGTCTGGCAGGGCAAGAAGCCTAGAATAAAATTTAAAATACTAACAGATGCAAAGGAAAGAGGTGGATTTGCCCTGCCAGACCTTAAACTTTATTATGAATCAGCAGCTTTTTGCTGGTTGAAAGAATGGCTGCTTCTGGAAAACGCAGACATTTTGGACTTAGAAGGTTTTAACAATGTATTTGGGTGGCATGCATACTTGTGGTATGATAAGGTCAAAGCACATAAAGCATTTAAAAACCATATTGTCAGGAAAGCATTGTTTAATGTTTGGATAAGATATAAGGATCTACTTGAAAATAAAACTCCAAGATGGCTGTCACCGATGGAAGCGAAGGCTCTGAAAAAGCTCAATATGGAGGCCAAATGGCCGAAATATTGGGAAATTTTGGAACAAGATGGAGATAGATTGAAACTGCAGAGTTTTGAGAAATTAAAAAACAAAGTGCGAGACTGGCTTCATTATTATCAGATAATGGAGGCATATAATTTGGATAAGAAAATTGGCTTCCAGGTGGAAAAATCAAAATTAGAAACAGAACTGTTAGAACCCAAAACTAAGATTTTGTCAAAGATGTATAACTTGCTGTTGAAATGGAATACTCAGGATGAAACGGTGAAATCTGCTATGATTAAATGGGCTCAAGATGTTGGACATAACATAATGATGGCTGACTGGGAACAGTTATGGACCACAGGTATGAAGTTTACGGCATGCAATGCCTTAAGAGAGAATATTATGAAAATGATATACAGGTGGTACATGACACCAGTCAAGCTTGCAAAAATCTATCATTTGCCCGACAATAAATGTTGGAAATGTAAAGAAAGTGAAGGTACATTTTTTCACCTTTGGTGGACGTGCCCAAGGATTAAGGCTTTCTGGGAGATGATCTATAATGAATTGAAAAAGGTATTTAAATATACCTTCTTGAAGAAACCAGAGGCCTTTCTCCTGGGCATAGTGGGCCAATTGGTGTTAAAGAAGGATAGAACTTTCTTTATGTATGCCACAACAGCAGCAAGAATACTTATTGCAAAGTATTGGAAGACACAAGAACTACCCACTCTGGAAGAATGGCAGATGAAGGTGATGGACTACATGGAATTGGCGGAAATGACTGGCAGAATCCGAGACCAGGGAGAAGAGTTGGTGGAAGAAGATTGGAAGAAATTTAAAGACTATCTACAGAAATATTGCAAAATTAATGAATGTTAGAATGATGTTAGAATGAAGTTAGGTGGTTTAAGCAGTAATGCTATAAAGGTGTATGTAAAAATGGATCGATAACAGGTGAAAATTTAAAGTTATAGTATATTAAGTTAAAGGATTAAGAGAAAATAAAGAGGGAAAGAAATTGCTGAATTAACTAATTGAATTGGAATACAAAAAAGGGAGGTATGAGGAGGTCAGGGAAACAAGGATATGAATGTAAGGCATGGAAAGATTGATCTATTTTTTTTAAAGTGTTTTTTATTCTTTTATTCTGTATTTTGTATTTTTCTTGTATTTTTATTTCTGTCTTTTGTTTTTGCTTTTCTTGTTTTTATGTAACTCTTTTTTCTGAAATTTTAATAAATATCATTAAAAAAAATAATTCTGGATCCAGATGTCCTTCCACAGTGGGGAGATGCAGGAGGTCCTGAGTTCAAGCCCTGGTGTCTCCAGGTAATGCTGTGAAAAGATACTATCTGAAACCCTGGTTAGTTGGTGCCAGTCAGAGGAGGTAAGACTGAGCTTGATGCACCAATGGTCTGACTCAATAAAAGGGAGCTTCCTGGTGATATAGATTTAGGGTAAACCCTAGAAATTAATAAATGCTAGGATTTTGGTTATTTGTGATATGAAGGGAGAATGCAAGCACCAAAGGAATTCCTGGGCTCACTTATGCAAAGCAACCTGGCTGAGCTAGAACAGCTGAGGGACATTAACAATACAAGAGAACTCCTTTCCCCTTGCCCCAGGTGTGAACAGAGACTGGAGGTTTGGAAGGTTGCCAGGGTAACTGCCTGGGGGGGGGGGCAAGGGTTACTCGGAGGAAGAAGAGTTGAGATCCATCTTGGACAGGAAAAGGAGCTGAGATCCATCTTGGACAGGCTTGAGGCTGCCTGTGCTGCTGCCATGAAATGACCACATCTGGACTCCCTCCATGCAGACTGAAGGTGTAAATAAACCATATTTCTTGAAGCCACGACAGTCTCTGACGTGTCTTCACTTCTCCAAAGGAGCACAGACCCTGTGTGAGTGGCTGAGACCCCCATGGGCTCTTGCCGTCGCTTGGCAGAGAGAGGGGGAGACACCCAAGTTTTGTAACACTGTGTTCCTGTGTTGTGGTTTAAGGACTGCCAGATCATGATCACAGGTTACTGCTTTTGTCTGGTCCTCATCAAAATTTATAAACCTAATTCTGTGAATGGCTTACCGAGATAAAAAAAGGATAAGCTTCATAACGTTAGCTAGACATGCTCCAGCATGTTTGTGTGCCTGTATTTAAGAAATGAGTTATTGGATATATTGGCATGGTCTTTCCTCCCTTGTAACTGATTAAGACTTAATTCTTTAAAATTTCTAACTAATGAGACCTAGAGGTTGGTTTTTTTGGTGTGTTTTTTAACCCTCTTGTCTACTGTCTGTCATTGGGTACATTCCAGCTATTTCAAGAAAACACGACAGCAGTTTTGGCAGGGATTACTAGTCCTGAGTGCTGAAGGAACTATGAGCTATTCAGGGATGTGCTATAAAAATACGGTTGTGTATTTTCCTGTAGTGTGCAATAGACGATCCTCTTTTTAAGCACAGGCCAGAGAAATATCCCATTGTCAAAGCTACTACTTCAATTTAACTGTCTGCCCTTATTGGCACAAAAAGAAATTACCCTGGCTTGGCCATAAATGGGAGGTGGGGAATTTTGGGGCCTATTTTTGTGACCAGCTCAGTAAGTAAGTTGGCAACTGAGACGCAGGAAGATAATTGACTCTCCTGGACCAAATCTATTACCAGTTTAGCAGTATGTAACTCCCTCCCTTTGTTGTTGGAATATATCCTCGTCTGATAAAAAAGCAGATCCGGATTATGCACATTGCTTATATTTTCAGCTCCAATCCATGCCATTTCTAAGGGTTGCATAACAGTTTGGAGGTAAGGAGTGTGTGTCTTTCATTTCAAACTGAAACAATTAATCTATCTGGGAGAGGAGTAAGATGCAACTCCCCGCTGCAGCGGCGAAGGCACTGTAGGCAGACGAGATTTCGAGTGATTTAAATGCTTGTTCAATCTGGGTCTTTAAACTTAAAAAGCAGAAGTATCGCAATGTGTTTCCAAGGACAGAGGAGGAGTCCTGCCCATGTATCGGCCTACCATTGGCTAGTTCTGTCTGGGAGTCATCCTTAATTGGCTTTCCGAAGGAGTGGATTCACTGAAACAGCATGCCTTTTATTGCTTTGCTAGTCGTCTCTATGCACCGACTTTCATTAAGGTGTGGATGACTGGGAGCTGATCCACAGAGGGGTTTTTTTTGGTCTTCTTAATTTTGCAAGTGGTCTGGACAAGAGTTTCTAAGCTAAATTACCTGTGACCGACAGAAATGAGCTTGTACGGAAGAAGGGCAACCTTGCCTGTGGTTACTCCAATAGTTCTGCAAAAACGGGTAGGTGACTTCGGAGGCTGAGGGGCAGGGGAGGCATGTCTCTGTTTTGGAAGCAGAAGTTACCCATAAGTAGAATGTAAGTATTGCATCCAGTGTGGAAGGCATGCTGTGCATAAATTGCTGCCTTTCCTCTTAATTTAAATGTGGGATCTCCAGCCTTCCTGAGGATTTAGCATGTGTGCTCCCTTGCAAAATTATGCAGTTCATCAGTTGCCCTGGGAACTTGGGCAGCAGGTTGGAAATGACTGAAATAAATGGATAACTAAAAAAACCCCCGAACACATCTCTGAGTCTTTTTCTTGCTGCCGTTTCTGCTTTGATATGTAGATAAAGCCGCTCCTGTTGTTTTAAGTGTACTGACATTCTATAATATGGTCACTGTAAATGAAGTAGTTTATAAGACCCAACAGAGTATTAGTTTTTGGTGTGTGTGTTTTTAAGAAGAGGCCTGGCTTGTGGCAATCCCTTGTCTACGAAGTAGTTAGCAATCAGTCAGATGGGTGGCATATGAATAATAAAATTATTATTATTATTGGGCTTTAGTATTTTGATTAAGATTATGTAAGCAATGTTAGATTCTTTCCTCCCCTGTCCGTAAGTGTGGTGATTTCTGTTCTTGTAGCCACTCCAGTGGAATATATTGCTGCTATAATTCATTTCACAGTGAAAACTGGAGGCATTTTAGATACATAAAAAATAATAAAAAGCCCTGTTTTATGTTTTGGCTGGTTTATTTCTGCACAACTTGGGGATCAAGTCGTATTTTTCCCAAGCTGACCAGAAATAACCAGCCAAAACATTCAACAGGGCTTTTAAATGCTTTAAAGCAGTATGTGCTGAATATCTGCCTGTCATTAACCTGTTACAATCCAAGAGTTTATTTCAGGAGAAAGAAAAGCCCCAGAAGTTCATAAATTCTTCATTCTACCTTTACTGAACTTGAAATCATGAATGTTCACAAAAGCTGAAGAGGGGTGGGGAATATCTGTAACGTGGGAATCAGTTTTCGTTAATCTCTTAAGTAAAAGTCACACGAAATAACCCCGCTCCCAAAACATGATTCAAGTGCTTGTTAACCGATTTGAGGACATGTCCGGATACTTCACTTCCAATGCTGTGTTCCGCTGGAACTTCAGAACATGACTGATGGTAACAAGGTTGGCCCCAGAGGGTGGTGAGATGAGGTGAGGCGTTTGCCAGGCCCCGCAAACCAGCAGAAGGCTCTCCACCCGAATAGGCATGCCATTTCTACTTAGTACGGGACGCTGGTGGTGCTGTGGGTTAAACCACAGAGCCTAGGACTTGATGATCAGAAGGTCAGCTGTTCGAATCCCTGCGACGGGGTGAGCTCCCGTTGCTCGGTCCCTGCTCCTGCAAACCTAGCAGTTCAAAAGCACATCAAAATGCAAGTAGATAAATAGGTACCGCTCTGGCGGGAAGGTAAATGGCATTTCCGTGCGCTGCTCTGGTTTGCCAGAAGTGGCTTAGTCATGCTGGCCACATGACCCAGAAGCTGTATGCCAGCTCCCTTGGCCAATAAAGTGAGATGAGTGCCGCAACCCCAGAGTCGGTCACAACTGGACCTAATGGTCAGGGGTCCCTTTACCTTTACGGGATATGCAAGATCAGATGCAGCCTAAGACAATTCTCTGTTTCCATGGCTCACCTCTTAGAAGGCAAGGGAAGCTCACTGGGGATTGCTGTGCTTGAGGGCCCCCAGAATCTTGGAGCCAGCACTGACTCGCACCATTGCACTATGATACACAAATTTATTAGCGTCCCTGTCTTTTCAAATAGTGTCTGGCTTGCAGTTGTACTAATGTGCCATTGTACAAATGCATCATGTGCCCGACACTTTTCACAACTTAGAGCAGACTTGCCGAACTACAACTCCCATTATCCTCTCCGTTAGCCCTGCTAAGCTGGGTCTGGTGGGAGTTGCAGTCCTGCCATTTCTGGAAGGGGCACATGTCCCCCATCCTTGCAATACTATTACTGTGTTATGACTATTTACTTAAGCCCTCGAGTTTAATGGGGTTTTACTCCCAAGTAAGTGTGTACTGTGTAGGATTTCAGTTTTAATCTCCACAGGTCGTACAACAATCCTGCAAGTTTGGTCAGTATATCTTGTAAGCTGTGCAAAATGTTGTAGGCGATATAGTGCTTTGCCTGAGGCCTCCTAGTAGAATTGCTAGCTGACCATAAAAAATAGTGTAGATTACTCCTGTGCCTTTAACATCCCTTTGATCTACAGAAACCAGCAGGCGAAGCTTCCCATTGGTGGATATCAATATTGCTTGCCAGCTGCTGCAAATTGGATCACAGTTAAAGGCACAGGGTTTGATTCAAAAGTTGACAACCCTGTCATCCAGAGTGCTTATGGGCAGAGGTGAGGTTTAGATCAGGGACTTGCTCATTCTGAACTCTGTTCCAGCCAGTATCAGCTATGTTTTAAAACTTTGAAGATAAAAACTAGAATGTGTGTCACTGGAAATTGGAATAACACACCATTTTCTGTTTAAAATTTGCTGCCGATGTGTGCCATTTTCCAGGGAGCTGTACTGAAACCAAAGCTACAGTTGGAAAGACCTCAAAGAGAGGCAGAATCCTGAAAAGAGAAATGAATGTGATGACCACCTTTCCTAGTGAACTTCTGCTAGACCTAAACCACTGTTAAAATTAGGAAGATAGTATTTTAAGCAGTGGATTTGGACCTCTTAAAATGTGTGTATGCTTCTTGGGTGATGGTGGTATTTGGTTCTCATGTTCTGGATTACGCTTCTGCAAATAACATGTAGCAGTTCATTCTGCTGTAGAGTTGGGGTTTGGTTTACTCCTAACCTCCATCCTCCCAAGTCTATAATACCTCACTCCTTTACTTCATTACAGTTAGTGGCGGTGGTTTGCTCTGAGTATTTGTGTGTATATGCCCAAACTGAAAGCAATTTCAGACAGGATCCTTAGTTATTTGTCTCAGATTTCTATGCTGAGCTCAAGTTACCCTCTTATACATTTGCATGATACTTTGTAAGATGGGACATACCATGTTGATTGATTTGTGAATGGAGGCCCTTCTGGTTATACCATCACCAAGAAAAGCCTTCCAGTTTAGGACTTGGGGAAAGGCCTTCTCCGTAGTGGCACCCCAGTTTTGAATCACCCTTTCCTCTTAGGTCAATCTGGTGCCAACACTGGGCCATCTTTCATTGCTGTCTTAATTCAGGCCTTTTGTCTTAGGTGCATTGGACCATGGAGTGGTGTGGGGATAGAATAACTTATGTACTAAATTGCAGTTGTTAAAAAAAAAGATTTTTTTAATTAAAAAAATTGGTTTGAAGTGCTTTTTATTGTTGTGAGGTCGTTTTAATGATGAGGGATAGGTTATGGAAAGGAAACTAACTTTGTAACTTTTTAAATACTTTGTAAACCACTTAGAAGCCTGTTTTGGCATTAAGCGGGGTGCAAATAAACAAGAAAGAACACTGCACCCTTTTGCTGAAGTGCACACATTTTTTATCCAAAGGTCAGCAGCGTGTGCTTTGATTCCTTTCCTTTTTCTTTTCTGATATCTTTCAGTGACCTTCGTGGAGCTTTATGAGGTTTCGTGTTTTTTTAAAGGAAAGCTGAGCTAACAGCTATATTGTATGGGAGCAATTGCACGGAAAAAGGCACAATCAGTGAAAATGTTTTATATGCCCTTGAACAAGAACATGGTAATGAGCCAATGCCTACCACTTTCCTTGGCTTGATGAGCTTTCTACCTCTCCCTGTCGTCGTCGTCCCCCCCGCCCCCACTTAGATTTTTGATTTCTCTTCCAACCCCTCTGCTCATTTCTTCCAAATACTTGAATATTCTTCATATAGTAACCAAGGAAATTGGCAAGGCTAGCAGCATCCAGCGCTCATAATCCTCTTTCCTTGGCAGAACTCCCTGCCTTGGAAAGGGGGAGAGGGAACAGATTTCTTGCTATTGAGGAAACCGGCGCTCCATGTCTTTGTCCTAGTCTTCTCTCAAATAAATTAGGCTTCCAGAAGGTCAGAATCTAACCTTCAGACTGTTAACTTGCCTTGGAAGTATATTGGGCGGCCTACTGAACAGTTATTTCTGCCAGCAGTAAATCTTGACTGAGTGGACATTTGGATTCTTTTGTGGATGCAGATTGAAGAGAATTGTAGCCTAGAAACTGCACATAAGGAATTGCTTACAGACCTTTGGTAGTAAAGACTTTTTTTTTTTTAACGCAGCACTGAAGCGACTTTGATGAATTATGTGTAAATGTGGGTTCTGAGTTTTTCTGTAATATCCCACAAACTAAACTTGATACACAGATGCCTGAGGTCTAGACAGCTTTTTCTTGCTGCAAGTTGTGTCCTGCATTTAAATCTCCTCTACCATTTCGTGTGTGTGTGTGTGTGTGTGTGTGTGTGTGTATGTTGTTAGATGCATGAGTTTTAAAAATTGCTTTAAAGATAGGATGGGAAATGCTTAGGCTTTGAAGTGTTTTAAAGAGGTACACATGATGTGGCGTTCCGCAACAGAGGCAACACTTCTGTGTTTGCAAATGTTACACCACATGGTGTCATATCAGTGTGCTGAATCAGAGGGCAATGGGTGGAAACATGCATCATCATATCCCTTTGGAGGGCCCTTGCAGCAAAGGGCAGCGATCGACAACCAAAGTGTGAGCAGAACAACTTCCCCTCCTCACCCTGCATGTGCCCTGTGCCATCCTCAAATGTGCTCCAAAGAGTTGGCAGGGGAACCCCCAGCACAGATTTGGGGGACAGAGGGGGAGGAGAAATCCCCTTCCGCATCAGAGTTGTTCCGCTTTCACAAAGTGATGCATTGAATACAATCTCTTGTGTTCTCTTCTCGTACGCACCTTTACGTAATAACGGGCATTTTTGCTAATATAAAAACTAATCTCTTTCAAATCAGAACCAGTGAAGGCGGTGAAGGTCCTGTGTGAGTGCCTGGAGGTGGTTGGAGGATGGATGGCAACTAACAGATTGAGGTTGAATCCTGACAAGGCAAAAGTACTGTTTTGGGGGGACAGGAGGTGGGCAGGTGTGGGGGACTCCCTGGTTCTGAATGGGGTAACTGTGCTCCTGAAGGACCAGGTGCACAGCCTGGGAGTCATTCTGAACTCACAGCTGTCCATGGAGGCGCAGGTCAATTCTGTGTCCAGGGCAGCTGTTTACCAGCTCTATCTGGTATGCAGGCTGAGACCCTATCTGCCCGCGGACTGTCTCGCCAGAGTGGTGCATGCTCCGGTTATCTCCCGTTTGGACTTCTGCAATGCGCTGTATGTGGGGCTACCTTTGAAGGTGACCCAGAAAATACAACTAATCCAGAATGCGGCAGCTAGACTGGTGATTGGGAGCGGCCGCCGAGACCACATAACACCGGTCTTGAAAGACCTACACTGGCTCCCAGTACGTTTCTGAGCACAATTCAAAGTGTTGGTGCTGACCTTTAAAGCCCTAAATGGCCTCAGACCAGTATATCTGAAGGAGCATCTCCACCCCCATCATTCTGCCTGGACACTGAGGTCCAGTGCCAAGGGCCTTCTGGCGGTTCCCTCGTTGCAAGAAGCCAAGTTACAGGGAACCAGGCAGAGGGCCTTCTCGGTAGTGGCACCAGCCCTGTGGAATAACCTCCCACCAGATGTCAAAGAGACTACCAGAGTTTTAGACGACATCTGAAGGCAGCCCTGTTTAGGGAAGCTTTTAAAATTTGACGGAGTATTGTATTTTAATATTCTGTTGGAAACTGGCCAGAGTGGCTGGGGAAACCCAGCCAGATGGGCAGGGTATAAATAAGAAATTATTATTATTTTAGAAAGTTGGTAACAGGTGAAGTAATGGTTAGACATTCTTAAAACAATGCTTTCAGAATTGAATACCTCCAAGCTAGATCATCTGAGCTTACCTTACATACTGGGTCATGTCATTGGTATTATCCTGCCCAATATTATCTGGAGCAGGGCTTGCCAATGTGGTTTCCATGTGTGTAGCCCGCAGAGGTCTTCCCCAGTGGCTACAGGGTCCCCTCGCTCATCCCTTCTCCTGATGAAATTAGGTTTGAAAGAAACATTCCATTGTAGCCTGTAGAATAGGGTGCCATGTTTGGGCAAATGGGGTCCATAGCAGTTTCTACAGTTTGCAAATGTGCCCACTGGCCCCCAGAGGTTGGCAGCCCCTGATCTAGTCTGACTTGCAGTAGCTCCAGAGGAACTTAAGCAAAGGACTTCCTCAGTACTTCCCATCAGGGATAAATGGCAAAGGGGGTTGCCTCTGGACACACCTGTGGTCCCAACTTTTCCATGCTACACGTGCTTTAAATCATTGACAACCTATATTCAGGGCTTTTTTCCAGCCGGAACACACCGGAACTCAGTTCCAGCACATCTCAGGTGGGTGCTGATGCCATTACAAGTGAACAAGGGAGTTGTTCATGGTGAGTTCTGGCAACTGTTTTTCTAGAAAAATAGCCCTGCCTATATTTATGTATCTGTTGGATCCCCCCCCCCCCAAGTTATAACTATAGACGGTTCTTAAACCGGAAGTAATTGCGTCAAATATCGCACACAGAGCAATTGTTACAGAGGAAGGTTCTCACCATGCTGCGTGCATAAAACAAAATCACCTGCTAATGAAACCAGCATTTTCACATTTTACACGTCTGTATGTATCAGCTAATCTTCTTTTGCCTTTTTAACAGGTAATCAAAATATATAGTGAGGATGACTCTAGCAGAGCTTTGGAAGTACCAAGTGATATAACAGCCAGAGATCTGTGCCAGTTGCTCATACTAAAGAACCATTATGTGGATGATCACAGCTGGACTATGTTTGAACATCTCACTTCCTTAGGTTTAGGTAAGTACTGCTTGCTTCAGAAAGTGTGTCATTTACAGATGTTGCTAGGGGGAGCTCCAGTTCTTTTGTGCTGGGCCTCGGATTGCCTGTTCTTCTTAATCTGCCCTCTTAATATGCTCAGAGACCTAAGTTTGCATTTATAGGTCATGGGCCTCTAGGAGTCTAGAGCCACTGTTTTGTATGTTTTGCTGGGCGTCACAAACCCACAGAAACACTTGCAACCAATGCAGTACTAAGTAACTGTCCTACCAGTGCAAGGATTTACACTTGTGAAATGGGAGCGCATGCCCCCAAATCTTTTATAGTGGAGTGGGGGTGCAGGGAGAAGGCTGAAAGTCTTGCCATGCAAGTGCACTGTTAGGGCAGTTCATAGAACAGTAGAGTTGGATGGGACCCTGAGGATCACCTAGTGCAAGCCCCTGCAATGCAGGAATATGCAGCTGTCCCGTACAAGGCTCAAACCTGCAACCTTGACATTATCAGCACCACGCTCTAACCAAGCCATCCAGTTCCTTAGCACTGGGTTGGATAGAAGCCTAAATATCATTCTATCCGGTGCTTCTTTTTTAAAGAAAAATAGGTGTCAGTATTCACCATGAAGTTACAGTAAGTGCCACAATTTTAACCAGTGTTTTTCTTCTAGGAAAAAAAAGGTTCCCGTGCTGTGTACCCTTGAGTACCCCCAGAAAAAAGGCACTGATTCTATCCTATCTGGGGGGGGGGGGAGGCATTGTCTTTCACAGTTGGATAAGAATGCACAACTCATCCAAATATTTCCAGAAGTTTTTTTGGGGGGAGGGGGATGTATTTTTTCAAATAAAAAAAACAACAGACTCCTAAATCTGTAAACTTGCATCCTTCATTGCACATACATCAGCCCCACTGCACAGAAAGCCAAAAATATTGCTGCAAGGACATTGTTGGCTGTGCTGCAGTTACAGTAGTGATAGCCTACTGCATATTTCAGTGTGGATAGTGAATGCCTTGTCTTCTAAATTACATTTTGTTCCACTGAAGGAGACTTGTCGGCATCCTCTTACAGGGCCATAAATTATCCTGCTGAGATTTGATTTAAAGTCCACTAAAGCAATCGTGGGGAATTCAGAACTGCGGCTGTTGAACTTCTGAAAGCCCGGATCAAACCATGCTATGCCAGCAGCGTTTGAGCTGTGCGGTTCTGAAGCTGTGTTGAATTAAGTAATAAGCGTGAAAGATGGAACTTTTACAGATTGTGCTACATTAGCAATGCTTGCCTGGGCGTATTGGAGCCGCAGCTTGTCGTTAGTATAATCGCTTATGAGCGGTAAGATAAGTACAGATTTTAGGTGCCCAGTAAGCCTCAGATCTAATGCTGGCTTTAAGCGCTTTCACGTATTGCACATTCTTTAAAAACGTGAAAGGGGAACCTGCAGTAACAGACAGGAAAAGAGGGAATAGTATTCACCCCAGAGGTAGAACGAAAGACCATGCCCATCATTGGAGGTCTGGTGGGGGCAGAGAAGCCTGGCTCATGGTCCTTTTTGGCTGTGATGTCAAATTGGCGAGAGCTCAGTTCTGTGCATACAGAGGTGGATTTAGGTACAACCAAGGAGAGCACCTTTTCAAAGTCTGGTAAGCACTTGCCCAGCTCTGTGAAGGGGGCATGAGGGCTCTGCCAGGGTCCTAGAGTCCTTCCTCTTTCCCAGAGCCAGGCAAGCGCTTACAGGGCTTTGGGAAGGAGTTGGGAGGGCTCTAGCACCCTGGCGGAGACTTGTGCCTCCTTCCTAAAGCCTGCAGGCTTAAGGACACCCCATAAAATGTTGGCCTCGCACAGAGGTTCTCCCATTCATGGAATTACAGTGGTACCTTGGTTTACAAACTTGATCCTTAAACCAAAGCGTTCTTAAACCAAGGCGTGCTTTTCCATAGCAGTGGGGGACTCCATTTACAAATAGAACACAATCCAAGGCAAAGTTCACAAACCAAAACACCTACTTCCCGGTTTGCAGCGTTCTTAATTCAAGTTGTTCATAAAATAAGCTGTTCTTAAACCAAGGTACCACTGTATAGAGGGACGCGGGTGGCGCTGTGGGTTAAACCACAGAGCCTAGGACTTGCCGATCAGAAGGTCGGCGGTTCGAATCCCTGTGATGGGGTAAGCTCCCGTTGCTCGGTCCCTGCTCCTGCCAACCTAGCAGTTCGAAAGCACGTCAAAGTGCAAGTAGATAAATAGGTACTGCTCCGGCGGGAAGGTAAACGGCGTTTCCATGTGCTCTGGTTCGCCAGAAGCGGCTTAGTCATGCTGGCCACATGACCCGGAAGCTCCCTCGGCCAATAAAGCAAGATGAGCACTGGACCTAATGGTCAGGGGTCCCTTTACCTTTACCTTACCACTGTATAGATTTGTAGAGTTGGAAGGGACCCTGAGGGTCATCCAAGTCAAACCCCCTGCAATGCAGGAATCTCAACTAAAGCATCCATGACAGATGGGGCCAGCGGGTGTTGTAGTTCAGCAACATCTGGAAGGGCACTGTGTTGACTACTCCTGCATTACAGAAGTGAAATGTTTCTTTTCAGTAAGAGACGGCAAAAGACGTATTTGTGTTATTTACTAGTTCAGGAATAAATAATTCATGGTAGCTGTGCTCCAAACTCTCTTACGAACAGACCCAGCAGCTGTTCCAGTGGTTCATGAATAAAAGGCCCGAACCTATAAATCATCGCAAATTGAATATGGTGCTTCTATTTACTGCAATAATCACATGTCAGCTTTTGTAATGAGTGTGTGTGTTAAGTGTTTACACACCATGTTAATTATTAGAACATCGCTCTTTCTGGGGTTTTGCACTGTGGTGCCAGCTGCTTTTAACACTCTAATTTGTGCAGCTGTAATATGGCCAACACGAGCCTTCTAAAATCATTTCCGTTGCTGATCATTTTTGGTCTAAATTATTCTCCACCCTCCCTTTTTTGTGTGTATGCTTGTTTGGCAAAACGTTCCCTTGTAAGTTTTCCAGGGCTTTTACTACATGGTTTCTCTTAACCCGGAGCTCCAAAATTTCTAAGCATCGAAACTTGGCTCCTGAAACACAAATGCAATTCTGGGCAATTTTTCAGCATGCCAGGTAGCTTATTATAGTTTGCATGTTCAAAATCCAACATTTCGAGTATTCAGATTTGACAGATGTTTTGAGTATTCGTAAGTTCTTTAATCCCCCCCAATAACTTTTCAATGTAATTGTTCACACGCTGTGCTGAATCAGAGGATCAGGCTAACTAACCCAGTGTTCCTGCTGCACTGCCTACATGTTTTCTACCCATTGAAGAGGAAATTGTGAAGCGGGCTCAGTTCAGGCTGTGGATGGTGAAAGATGCCTAGATCTCTTCACTGGTGCCAGTGGAAGTGCATTTGCCATCGCCAGGAATGGGGAACCTTGTGTTCCCTTCTCAGCAACCTTCCAAGACCTGCATGCCAGTGGTGGCCAGGGGCCTGGTTCAAAAGTGAGCAAAACAATGAATATAAATGCTACCTTTGTGCAGCAGGCTAGATGCAGCGCTCTCTCTCTCTCCCCCTCTCTCTCTCACCTACACACCTACCCCTCTCTATCCTCTATCCAAGCATGCAAGAGGCCTTATATGCCTTTAGGCGCCAGGCGAAAACTTTCATCCATAAACAAATATCTGAAGGCAGCCCTGTATAGGGACATTCTTAATGTTTGATGTTTTCTTCCGTTTTTAATATTCTATTAAGAACTGCTTACACTGGCTGCAGCAATCTAGTCAGATGGGCGGCAAACTAACAACAACAACAACAGCAACAACAACCAGGCCTTGGGCTGATTAAGATCTTATACCCCTTTTAAAATGTGTTTGTGGGAGGGGGGTTATTGGTTTGTTTGGTTTTTGTTGCTGTTGTTTTTATAATGTGTTTTTGTGCTTTTCTATTGCATTTTTTTATGCAGTGTACTGCCCTGAGATCTGCAGGCGAAGGGTGACATGTGAATTTAATGAAGAAAAGTAAAATAAAAAAATAAGTATTATGAGAGTTCAAGGGCACTTTCCAGCCAGGGGAAAAGCACCCAATGAGAGTCCCTAGCAGGGTCAAGGAAGGGCTCCATCCTGGGGAGAGGGGATTGTGGCCCTGGGGAGAATTTGAAAGTTTTGGAATTTTGGCATTTGGCCCCTGGGTGTGGGGTTCCTCACCCCTGACTTGCACCACCTGTTCGGTCAGTGAAACATTATGCTACTTCAGGTTGGTGGTAGAGCAACCCCTGGGATTTCTGCACCAGGTTAACTTTGTGTTCTGCTGGTGGAAGGCTCTTTTGGTTCTACTTCTCTTCTCCAGTTCCGTGTACGGAAGCTGATCAGATGGGCAGTTGAATCTTATTTTCACAACAGCCTCTTCCATTGCAGCTCAGGCAACAGGCTAACTTAGGGGGCTCAGGGGAAGAACCTGCAGAGCTCACAGCTGTGTCCTCCAGGGCCTTCCTGCCACCGCTGCTCCTTGTCGCCCAGAATCTGCTGCCTGAGGCAGCTTCCTCACTCTGCCTAATGGCAGGGCTGGCAGTGGATGGGAGTTTCAGGACTGCTATAAATCTAAGCTGTTGAATTTGCACAGTACAGCAACGTTTCCTTTTTATGCCGTAACCCGCCTTGCGATCTTTGGATAAAGGGTGGCATATAAATAGATTAAATAAAGAAAGGAAAGGAGGAAAATATTGACAGTGTTTTAAACAACTTCACTGCTGCCTGTGTGAAGGCTTTGCGAGAGAGAGACAGAGAGAGAGAGAGGGAGGTTAATACTTAGTTTTGCGTATATGTGTGGAATGTAGATATGCCCACTAGGTGTCGCTGTTGTTTATAACTTACAGATCCTAACTTTTAACAAGGGACACAAGTGCAGAATTTCAGTAATTTGTGGTTTCTACTGGCATTGGTTGTTTTTTAGTTTTTTGAATTTGTTGAAGGCTGAAATGGTAAAACTTATTGCCCTTCATCCAAAGGTTCACAGCATAAAAATGCGGAAGGAAAGAACTATGTATGTCATCTTGCGGTCCTTGGGGGAGGTGGTATCTAAATTCAGTGGACTAACCAGTCCACAAGGGAGCATTCATTCAAAATATCACACCAAATGAACACATTTGCAGCCCCCACCTTTCTTGTTTTATTGTCGCTACAGGTTCTGCCTCCCCACCTCCCAAACCATAGCTTCTTCCCGATTGAGGTTCTCCCCAAACAGATGTGCGGAGAGTGTGGGGCTTATGTATTGGGAAGCAATATAACTACTCCCTGCCTAATTACATTGTTAATCTTGCCTAAGCCTCGCCCACGGGAATCCCAAATGGGGAAAACCCCACTCCATGAGACCTTGTGCTCTTTAAAAACAAGACTATAAACATGCTTGACCAGAGCCATTGATGCAAGAAACAAAAATATATGGATTTAATTCATGGCTGACTCTGATTAGATACGAGTTGGGTATAAGAGAGCAGATGGAGGGAATAACTACAGACAGCGCTGTGCTGGAATCTGTCCTCCAGTTTCTCAAATGTCTTCTTCCCCTTCGAGAGAGGCTTCCATTTTTCTGCGTTCTCAGATGGTACTTCAGAATTTCTTTAGAATTTCTGTGGGGGTGCATTTTCAGCTTTCCCAATTCTTCCAAGGTGGCCAAGAGGGGTATATGTGTTTTTTACTTTTGGGCAAATCTTTCCCCAGCGCTCTGGGGGGGCCTTCCTGGAAGCTTGTGGGCACCAGTCACAAAATGGCTGCCATGGGGGCATGTCATAACACAAAATGGCTGCCACATCTAAAACAGCAGGGAAGGAACCAGGACCACAAAATGGTGCAGGCATCCCTTTCCCTCACTTTCCCCTCAGTTGGGTAGGGATGGAAGACCACCAGCACACTTGCTTACAAAGAGAAGCCCTTTCTACATTTCCTCTGTTCAGAACAGAAGGGAGAGAAGATGTCTAGCCCTGGCTTCTAGTGAAATGTAGGGGGACGTGTTCTGTGTAGGAGACATCAAGCCAGATCAGAGAGGAACTGAACAAGAAGAGCACAAGTCTCTTACGCATTGTGGGGATGTTTACTGAAACCTCTTGTGGGCCCCACAGAAGGGACTGGTGGGCGCAGAGGAGCCCATGGAGCCCATTGCCAAGCAACAGTGCAGGGTATCCAAAGAGCTAAAAGAAGTATGGTTTGGCATCTCTTGGGCTTTGTTCCAGAGGCAGAATTTGATGGAACTAGCTTCGGTTGTGATAAACGCGATGAAACACTCCATTAGAAACATATGGCGTAGAATAGGCTTGCACAAAACTTGAGGCTGCACAGTGAATGCAGCCTGCTAACTATGCATTGTGGCCTACATTTCTCTGTTCTTCTTCCCTGCAGGCAGCAAAGAACGGGAGTTTTCACGAGTCCCTGGTAGACCACCATATACAACTGCATTTAACTTGATAGGCCATTAGATGTATAGACCTGGCTTGGGGTCTGTACCATGAATTCTTTCTGATGTTCTAGCACTCTTCTTTATTCTGGCAGTTTTGTTAATTGATTGAAAAGCATTTTGAAGTATTGGTTGACCAAGAATGCTGTCGTAATTTTGTAAATTTGATGTAGCTTTTGTTTTTGTAGGAAATGGAAAATTGCTCAAACCATGTTGTAGATATCGGCTCTGATTCCAAGATGGTGATGATGACTGTTCATTTAAATAATCCATAATGCAATCAACTAAAGGCTTAATATATTCTCTTGAATATATTCAACATTTTTTTAAAAAAAAACAACCCCAAAAACTTTCTGCACCTTCCAAACCTGCAAATGGTGGCATTTTCATAAATGTCACTTTGACATCCATGTAACCACACTTAAATGTCAGACCAGTTTGAAAGCTTTCTTTAAAGTCTTTAAAGAAGCGTATTTTGAGACATAGCTCAGTCTTCAGTGTGGTTTTTCAATCTCTCTGCTGCCATGAAAATTAAATGTATCTTTTGCAGCAAAGTGGTCTTCGTTATGTCAGGTTGATATCTACCAGTGTGAATTTATTTGAGCAAGTGTATGACAGGAGATGCGTGTGTTCTGCATAGTGACTTGCCTCGTTAACAAGACCATGGATTTGGTGCATATCATTTTTAGATTTTCTCATTGTGGAAGGTTTGCTTGGTTTACTTAGTGAGGAAGTGGGGGGGGGGTAAAAGTATTAAATGAGTAGTAGCTGGAGCCAGACTTGCCAATGGACTGTGTTCCATTGCCAGTGTTGAAGAAAAATTCAGCAGCCTGCCTGGTCAGCATCTGTATGTGGAATAGACCAGGGCTGCCATCTTGTTTTCTGCCTCAGGCAACAAAATGGGGCAGCCCTGGTCATAGTTAGATGAATATAATACATAGAGTGTCAGACATCTTTCACTGAGCCAAACTACACACATTGTCATACCCTTGGGGACATATTCATGCCAGCCCAGATGTAGGACCCAGCCTGTTTGTCCCTGCTTCCACCTTCCTTCCTTCCTTCCTTGTCATTCATTTCTTTCTTGCCTTCCAGCCCTTTTCAAAAGTTTCACAACAGCTGCTGTAGTATCATTATATTGAGTGACTTATACAAATTCTTGCATTTTACCACTGGAGGTGAATTAATTTAGGAGAATTGCTAGGATTTATGTTTCTTTTATTACACAGAGAGAATAATTGAAGACCATGAAATGATGATTGAAATCCAGTCAAGATGGGGAATTGAAGAAGGCAATAGATTTTATTTTAGAAAAAATTATGCCAAATACGAGTTCTTCAAAAACCCTGAGGTAAGTCATGACTGTATATTGATTTGATTCAATTACTAATCCTTAATATTTAGAGTGGCTAGTCATCAGTTATGGCACCCAGTTGAAACCAGACTATTGCCAAGAAATGTAATTAACTGTACCATTGCATACACACATACACTCACACCCTGATAACATGGATATAATTCTAGGCTCTGAGGGTCAGCTGAAACAAGTTTCTGCCAAATACCTAACAAGGCAACACAGCATTATTAGAATAAGTGGAAGAAGTGGCAGGGCATTTGGGCTCTGTTGAGTTCCTTTATCTTACTTATTGCTGCCGCTGTTCAGTGTTCTCAAACAGAGTATAGCAGGCTTGCAAATAGTTCTGCAAAGCTGTTGCCATTAGTACTACTCCATGCCACTGCCTGAATATTGGGTGGCCACATGAATGTTGCCCCACTCCTTGGCGGGGCCCATATTCAGACATCTCCCCACTTACATGGGGGCTGCATTCCCAGGTACTGCACATGTACATGAAATCGTGTATTGTGGGGAACACACTCTTAAGAAGCCTGTAAACAACCGTTAAACCTCTGGAAACCCTTGAAAGTGTTGCAAAGGTTCCTGGGATTGCTAGCTGTTTCCCCACTCTTTTTGTGCCATTTTTGCAGTTTCCCCACTCTTTTCAGTCCGTTTCGCGCCTTTTTTCCAGTTTAAATTGATTTGTTAAATTATTTCCTGGTGCCACGCATAAAAGTGGTTGCAAGCATAAGTGGAGAGACACCTGTACATTCTACCTGAACGTGGCAGCTTTAGATATCTCTTTGAGAAGAAAACCTGATTACATATGGCTCAAGAAATCCACACAAGTACTAATCCTCTTAATGTTCTGAATGCCGTGGAAGACCCTCTGTTTATTATCAGGAGTAAAGCATTAAGAACACCGGGTGTTGCCTTAGTCAGATTATTTCTCTAGCTATCACTATTATTATCATTCATTTCATTTCTATAGCACTTTATAGATTTAAAATCTCAGAGCAGTTTAGAACACATTAAAACATCAAATAAAACAATCCAGATAAAAACGTCACTGAAGAAACTCAACTGTAAAGTGTAGGCCAGTTTTGTCTACTCTGGTTGTAACCACTGGTTCAGAGCCCAGGCAACTCTCTCTATTTGATCCTTTTAACTGGACCTGCCAGGAATGGAACCTGGGTCTTTCTGCATTCAAAGCATGTGATCTACCACTGAGCTTTGGTTCTTCAGGGTATAAGCAGATGCTGTAAGGCCTTGTTTTCAGGCAAGGGCAACTACTGATGTTCTTATTTTGCAAGAGGGCTCATAAACAGGGTATAAAGGAAATGAAACCTAGGCCTTCTAACTAAATGTGGTGTGCATCTGTGAATGTTTCCTGAACCCTTCTAGTACTTTTGTTTTTTCTTTAACAGACTTTCTTCCCTGCACACCTGATATCCCTCTCAAATGAGATCAATGGAGCCATGAGCCACACGCAAATACTGCAGGTGAGATGTTGATGTTTTAAAAACGGGACCGCTCAGCTGAGTGTGTCTGAAAATCTCAAGCATTGCCTTTGTTTGACAGAACAATAGGGCTGGCATGGCCCAGCACTGTTATGAACGACATGGTCCCTATTCCCCAAATTTAAGTGCTTTATAAAACAAACCTCCTTCTTCACCCTCACATTCTGCTCTACGGGGAATTCTAGTTTAAGGCTAGCCAGTGATGGCTGGTGCTCATTAGAAATGTTAAGACAGAAATCTGGGTGACCATCAGTGAATGGTATCTTAGTCCATGACAGGAAGAGCCAACTAATTCTAATTTTCTCCTCATCCTCTTTCCGCTACAAGGGGCAACACTGAAACTAAGGAGGGAGCTGACAGGTAGAACCAGTGGCATTGTGTGGAGGCACAAGGGCGGTTAGGGCGTGCAAGATTTCAACACCCAGTGCTGCCGCAGTAGAGTTGCATGCTTGCATCGCTGGGCTCTGTTGAAAATGGCTTCTCCATGTGAACCAGGAAGTGACCTCTCCAGACAACGGAACGACTCTTTCCTTATCTCTGTGGCTGCGATCTCTTCTTGGATGACACGGACGCCATTAGGCAGTTGAACGTGCATGTGTACTCCATCCATTTCCCTCCCACTCCGCTCTGCGCAGCCCTTGGCACTGGTAACCCACACTACGCCACTGGGTAGTACTGGTCTAAGTAAGGAGGCAGGCAGGTTGGTGGGGCAATACCCCATTCAGTCTTAATGGACCAGCCTCCAATGAATAGTTTTCACATTATTTCACCACTAGAAGTCATTTGAATAAGATAGCTTATTCCATGTGCCTGGCAATCTGGTTGTTCTCACAGGTGGGCTCCCAGATAGGAGTTGTGAAACAGGTTATGAGATGCATACAGACTTGGTTTCTTAGAAAATATTTTTTTAAAAAAGTTATTACTTCTGTTAGCATCAGTTATTTACATGCTAAAGAACGGGGGCGGGAGGCCCTGGAAAAAGATGTACAGTGGTCCCTTGATTTACAAACTTAATCCATTCCGGGAGTCCATTTGACTTCCGAAACCGTTCAAAAACCAAGGTACAGCTTCCGATTGGCTGCAGGAACTTCCTGCACTCAAGTGGAAGCCACGTTGGAAGTTCGGCTTTCTGAAAAACGTCCACAAACCGGAACACTCACTTCAGGGTTTGTGGCGTTCGGGAGCCGATTTGTTCGGCTAAGCCATTTGGGAACCAAGGTATCACTGTGCTTTTTGCTGTGAAGATCGGGTCTGTGTTTTTCCACAAAGGGGATATCAAAGGTAAGGTTGGCAAATGGTAGAGCTCAGTAAAACAAGTAAAATAAGAACAATAGCAAAAGCCCTGCTCTGCTGGATCAGAACAGAGGCCCAGCTAGTCCAGCATTCTATTTTCACAGTGGCCAACAAGAAGCCTCTAAGAAGTCCACAAGCAGGACCTGAACAAACTTTCCCCAGTTGTGACTCCCAGCTACTGGAATGCAATGGCATGAGCTTCACCGTCAAGGCTAGTGGCTATATAACAGCAGGCTTAGGGACGCGGGTGGTGCTGTGGGTTAAACCACAGAGCCTAGGACTTGCCAATCAGAAGGTTGGCGGTTCGAATCCCCGCAATGGGGTGAGCTCCCGTTGCTCAGTCCCAGCTCCTGCCCACCTAGCAGTTCGAAAGCATGTCAAAGTGCAAGTAGATAAATAGGTACCACTCCGGCGGGAAGGTAAACGGTGTTTCCGTGCGCTGCTTTGGTTCGCCAGAAGCAGCTTAGTCATGCTGGCCACATGACCCGGAAGCTGTATGCTGGCTCCCTCAGCCAGTAAAGCGAGATGAGCGCCGCAACCCCAGAGTCGTTTGCAACTGGACCTAATGGTCAGGGGTCCCTTTACCTTTACCTTTTTACCATATCCTTAGTAACATTAGCAGCGTGCAAAGTGTTTTCAGAGTGTATGGAAGCTCTGAGGTCCTTTCACGAAAAGCTTAGCAATATAGGAAACCAAATAACGTGTTCCGTTTCAGTCAGATTAGCAGCTGAATTCCCACAGGCTTCTGAGAACTCATACTCCTCACCTGTCAGCGCAGTCCGAAGATCTTTCAGAGCTCCCAAATATGCACAGGAAGGAGTAGCTGGATAAAGGTCTGTTCCTGTGGGATTCAAAGTGGTATTTTTTCCCCTTTCAGATGTTTTTAAGTTCCAGTACATATCCTGAAATTCACAGTTATTTACATGCTAAAGAGCAAGGGAAAAAAACCTGGAAAAGGATGTACTTTTTGCTGCGAAGATCGGGTCTGTATTTTTCCACTAAGGGGACGTCAAAGGTAAGGTTGGCAAATGGTAGAGCTCAGTATGCATCATATTCTCTCCACAGTAAGGGATAGTTTTGTCTTCCTTAAGTCCTCTTGAAAAAGCCAAGCTCCCCCTCCCTCAAGTTTTGCTGATGATGCTGAAAAGTGAAGAAGACATTTATGGTGCAGGCAGGCATGGAACGGGCTAGGGGTTTTTGTTTGGTAATATTCGAATAAATGAAAGTGGTTTTTATAACTTGCAGAGTTAACTTGCAAAGTGAATTTTTAGCATGTCTTATTTAAATAGGTAGCTAAACAACTGTAGGGCACTTAGTCGGCAAAGGATAGTATAGGCATTACACTGGTTTTGGCTGTAAGTTTGCTCTGAGTTGCCTTTGGCAAAAGAAAGTGACTAATAAATTCACAAGGGATAATAATATATGGGTGTTGATCGAATTTTTTCCACTTCAGAAAAGTAAGTTGTTGCACCTTACATTGAAACACCTTTCTTTTATCATTTAGATGCTGACTTGGGGAATTATATACTTTAAAGAACGGTCTCCCCCCCCCCTTTTGGTGTAAATAATTTAAGATGTCCGTAATAGTTTTATATTGCTCTTCCTTTTAGGAGCCAAGGCACCTGCAGCTTTTCAGTGAATTCAGCAGTAGTGACATATATGTGTCTTTGACAGGCAAAAAGATATCTGGAGTGCCAGTCAGCTATGGGTTCTGCTTTAAGGTAAATGCCTAACCGTTTTGATAATAAAGAAAACATATTTTTTGTGGGGAGGGGGAGGATTTTAGTTCTGTTAAAAATTGGCATCAGGAAAAATAATATTGAAATTAAATTATTTTTTAAATGATATTTTGATTATGAAATGGGAGAATTAGTGGCCTTTATTTCAACAGGTATTGCCTTCAAGATATGAATTAATGCTAAAACAATATGCTGTGGCCTTCTAGCCTCAGAAAGCAGGAGGAGCCAGAGACCTGAAACAACTTTATGCAGAAAGTGAACAAAATAGGACCTGCTGGGTGACAGCAATTCGGTTGCTTAAGGTAAATGTCTTCTTCTCCTATTAATTGCCTTCGCCAGTTATTTCTGTATACAAAATGCCTCGTTCTTCTTTTACAGCCTCTGGGTAAAAATGGTATTTTCAATCTCCTTGAGCTCTGTGTTTTCTGTTTTTACATACATACTTGTATACCCCACACTTGCCATCATAAATTTTTTGTTTCCAGGGCAGCTGACAGTGTAGTAAGAAACAATAAAAATAGAAAATGATCAAGCCTATAAACTAAGACAGCAGACTAAACAGCGACAACCCGTGCGACTAGACAGTAAAATAAAAACTTCTCTAAGTTAAAAAGGGTAACCTTAGCGGTTCTTATACCTTATTAGCTGGAAAAAAATGTTATTCCACCCCCTTTTGTGGTTGTGTATGACTCTTAGTTACCCTTTAATGATTAAAGCATACAGACACGACAAATAAAAAGTTTAGTAATGGTTATTATTAATAAAGGGTCTTGAAAGTAAGACCTTCTAACTTCAGTGGGGCTTGCTCCCTAGGAAATAATTTTAGGATTGCAGCCACGCAGGCTTACTTGCCAATACAGGTGAATTTTACAGTACGATTAAGAGGGAAGTTTAGAAATTATATCACATGCCATGCTAAACAGTCCCCCAATCCCCAGGGGAAATTTCCATGGGTTGCAGAGGAAATGGTGAATGGGGCAGATCCGGGGCCATGAACTCTATTTTTTTCCTGGAAGGCGGGGAAAGGATCCAAACCTATATGGCTGGCTACTCTGTTGGAGGAAAATGCTGGCGTAGGTAGACAGCTTGGTCTAATCCAGCTTTTCTGTTCTTAAATATTTTTTAAAACTCCCTGCAAAGGAGTGTCAACATCCTTATCTTGGAAACAGAAAAGTAGCTACCTACTAACTACTTCAAAGGGTTTTTTTTTAAGGGGGTGGGCAGATTATGGGGAGAGGCAACGTGAGATGGAAATTACCCACTTTGTGTGGACACAATTCACCACTGAATACTTTCTGATTGTTGATCTTGAAATCCGCAAGACTGTAATAGCTCTTATCCTTCTTCTTTGTTTGTAGTATGGGATGCAACTTTACCAGAATTACATGCACCCCTATCAAGGTAGAAGTGGGTGCATTTCTCTGAGCACACCTGTGGTAAGTACTTCTCAGCTCATATGAAGCAATACTGATCCACAAAACCTGGCCTGCTGCCTTTTCCCAGCCCCCACCCTGCCCCAGTCACCCACTGGGTTTTCCATAGTATTGCAAGAGTATTACATTATGCTGTAATTTGTTCTCAGGGCATCCCATTACCTACAAAGATTTATTTAGTTCATACTATTTTAATTCAGTGTTTCTGTCAAAGATGTTAAAACTAACCGTAGCTCCCTGCTCCCCTTACATGAACCATGCACAGGATCATACGGATCAGTGAGATACTTTTGTCTATTTTGATATGTGCCTGTATCCTAGCAGCTGCTGGAAAAAAGTATTTGGGTTGCTTCTATATAGAGTGCAATGCAAGCGCTACAAAAGGGGGGGAGGACAGTTCCTATATCTCTGAGCTAGACAAGCTTTGGGGGGGGGGGCAAGGCCCACATGTAGTGGTGGGTAAAGGGAGGTACAGTCACACACACACACACACAAAACCTCACACACACATATAAACACGCACACACAAACTTTCCCCCCTCTTGTGCACACATACAGTGTTTATCCTGCCTCACAGTGCTCCTGATGCCACCAAGATAGTTGTCATTGATTTTGGCTATACAGTGGTACCTCAGGTTACAGATGCTTCAGGTTACAGACGCATCAGGTTACAGACTCCGCTAACCCAGAAATAATACCTCAGGTTAAGAATTTTGCTACAGGATGAGAACAGAAATTGCGCAGCGGCGGCGGCAGTGGGAGGCCCCATTAGTTATAGTGGTCCTTCAGGTTAAGAACAGTTTCAGGTTAAGAACGGACTTCCAGAACGAATTAAGTTCTTAACCTGAGGTACCACTGTATGGGGAGCACTGCGGCCGTCGGGAGAGATGTTTACTCTCCCTGTGCCGAAATCAGTGGTGTTACCTGGCTGATTATACGCCACCTGAAGTGATGGCACCTAGTGACCGAGGGCTACATCTAGCTCATGTGTTGCCCACCTGTGCCCTCTGTGTGTCATCTCTCTATTCACTTAGTTACATGGCTCAGAATAAGCTCTTAGAATCCATCACGTTCCAGTAAGAGATAGGGCAAGACCACTTAGCTGCCGGACGTAGATAATTCTTTTTACCACTTTTGCCATCATCCTAATACCATTTAAATAGGTGGTCCTCCTCAGATAGGCGTTTATTTCCTCTTTTGCTTCCCACTGTTGCAGCGGCTGTCAGAAAGTTATCTCGTCCATTTTTATATTAACTACCGTAAAATCTTCCCCATAGATGTACGAGTAGAATTGTTATGGTGTCGAATAAGCAGAGGGCAGAGTGTAAACCCTCTTATATATATGAAATATCTTTTTTTCTGATCTTGATAACTGGATAATCCCTCAGGACATATTTATTGCAATATATATACAGAACACTTTTGCCTTATTCTTAATATAGTTTCCAACTGGCTAATCAATAGATGCAAAGATTATTATTGCTCTGAGAGTGGTTCAGGGAGAAGCCAAATGCTGTTTCTAAAACAGAACACTGAGGAGATATTGTGAAATGTTTTGGTCAGTAATGTTTTTAAATGGATTTTTCCCCCCTTTTCCTTTTTGCAGAGAAGTGTTTCAGAGAACTCTCTAGTGGCCATGGACTTCACAGGACATAAATCCAGAGTGATTGAAAACCCCACAGAAGCCCTTTCAGTTGCTGTGGAAGAAGGATTAGCATGGCGGGTAGAAAAAAAAGTTCATTACAATGTTTTTTTCTGTTGGTTTTTTTTCTTTCTTTCTTCTGAAAAATTTACGATTTTCTTTCTTCCCACATAGAAAAAAGGGTGTCTGCGACTTGGTGCTCACAGTAGTCCCAATACTCTGCAGAATGTGTCATCGAATATAGGTATGTACCATTCCAGAAGGTCTCATGGAATGCAACACTATCGTCATACACAAAAATGATCCTAATAAGAATTTTCCCTCCCCTTTTTTCCTGACGCTTCAGCCATACACAGTTCACAGCCGTGGTTTCACCATAAGATCTCTAGAGATGAGGCACACCAACTAATTTTGCGACAAGGACTGGTAGATGGGTAAGAGTTCCAACCATTATTATTATTATTATTATTATTATTATTATTATTATTATTTTAAAATTGGACGAACTGTTAACTGCTTGAGCAGTCAAATTGTCCCCATGAGTCGCAATGATAAAACAAAATCAGACATAACAGGCATATGATACGCTAGTGGCTGCCTTGAAAGCATGTGCAGGTAGTTCTAAATTTGGTTAGAGAGTTTGTGGCACCAGCTTGGATGTTGCTACCTTTCTGGATACAGTCATACCTTGGAAGTTGAATGGAATCCATTCCGGAAGTCTGTTTGACTTCCAAAATGTTTGGAAACCAAAGTGTGGCTTCCAATTGGCTGCAGGAAGCTCCTGCAGCCAATCGGACGCCATTCCGGACGTTCAGCTTCCGAAAATTGTTTGAAAACCGGAACACTCACATCCGGGTTTTGATTGCTCAGGAGCCGATTTGTTCAGGAGCCAAGGCGTTTGAGATCCAAGGTATGATTGTATTTTGTGGTTTCCTAAATTTAGTGTACTTAATCAGGACACTATACTTCTGTTGATGCAGCCTAGAATAGCAACCCACCCTAACAGAACCACTGAGGCTCTCTTGACATGTTTGGCCCTGCCTCTGCATTCCCATTATCTTGCTCGGCAAACGGTGGAATTGGGACCACAAAGTTGCTGAGATAACACATCAGTCTTGGATAACTGGTGAATGTTTGGTTTGGGTTTCATTCTTTGGCCACTAGATGGTGTGCTGAAATACAGTGATCTTAAGAGAGGTTGAGAATGCATTTATTTATTGCTGTCACAGTTTTGCCACTTAAGTACCGTATTTTTCGCTCTATAAGACACACCAGACCACAAGACGAATCTCAGAAGCCAGAACAGCAAGAGCAATCACTGCGCAGTGAAGGCAGCAATCCCTCTTGCTGTTCTGTCTTCTGGGATAGCTGTGCAGCCTGCATTCGCTTCATAAGACGCTCACACATTTCCCCTTACTTTTTAGGAGGGAAAAAGTGAGTCTTATAGAGCAAAAAATACGGTAGATAAAATAATGTCTCTTTGCCATGAACAAGTACTTATTTCTGCGTCTAAACTTTGATGCTTGTTAGGAAAGCTACAAAACTTTAACAGTAACTCACTGCTACCAGATTTTCATACTTGTTTGATACTTGTTTCTATTCCTTCACCTGCTAGTGTTTTCTTGGTACGGGACAGCCAGAGTAACCCCAAAACCTTTGTGCTGTCACTGAGCCATGGATTGAAAATAAAGCACTTTCAAATTGTACCCGTAAGTAAAGCCAGCAAGTTTGTGGACCGGTAGTAAATTTTTCCTTCAATGGTTTTTATACTACTGCCAAAACGGTGGCATGCCTCTTGGTAATTCATTCTGTTTCTAATGGCTAAAACCTGCTAGTTACAGTTTTCTGTGGAATAGGGATGGTTTGAGAATTAAAAGCTCTCACACATGAAAATGGAATTCTAATGGAACTCCTCACGATAGTCTCTGCATTTCCTTAAATCCAAATGCAAGTGTGCGTATGTATGTACACAAACACACATTATTTTGAGTGTTATCTAGTTTTAAATTACGGTGTTTTGCACATTTTAATTAATTCATTAATGCAGTATTGTGAGTTTCCTTGTAAGATTTGTTTCCCTCTAAAAGGTAGGAAAGAAATCTATTAAATAATATGTGTGTGTGTGTGTGTGTGTGTGAGAGAGAGAGAGAGAGAGAGAATATGAATGTATTGTATACATGCTCTCTTTCAGATTATAGGCCTGTTGTTCTAGTTTTATTTTTCTCCCCATATGTTTTGAGTGTCCTAGGACTTGGTAGAATCTGTTGAGAGTCAAAAGGCAAGCACAAATTCCTTATATTTTATCAGAAAACGGGACAGGGTTCGTAAGCAAAAGAGGAATGTTTTAAAAACACATTGAGTCAGAATGAACACTCAAAAAAGACAGGTCTTTACCACTATATTAACACAGCAATGCTATAATGCCTGCTTGGAAGTAAGTCCCATTGAAGGCAATGGAGCTTAATTCTAGGTTAAGTAGGTATAGTTAAGCAGCCGAGTTCTGCACCATGAAAGGCTAGAATGGGCGACTGGAAAACATTTGTCAAGCTAAGGACACCCATGTGCTTCATTTGATGCTCCTGTTGGACATGGGGATGGGCGAAATGGAGCTATCCAAGGAACGGAGGCCCAATTTTGCCTCCGGATGCTGGAAGTCTGCCCTGTGGCTTTCGAGACTTTGCTCATCCCTCCTAATATATTTTCAGCAATATCAAATCTCTGGATAAGCTTCCCGCATTGTGCCATTCTTCTGCCTGGCATGTGCAAGGGCTTCCAGAGTTAAAGCAAAGTGTATTCAAATCTATCTCTTTGTTTTCGGATTTATGGCTTACCTCCTTGCCTCAAGGTGAGAAAGGCAAATAATATTAACCAGTAGAACATCACAAAAATGAAGAAGCAAATCAGTGACAATGGGCAAAAACCTTCAAAGCAATATATATCCCCTTCTTTATTATTTGTCTTAGAACTGCAGCCTTTAAGTGATTAGCTTCCAGTGTTTGTTGAGAAGCTACGGCACATCACAGAAAAAGAGGGGCACGTCTTCTTGTTGCCTTGGCAACACAAGGGTGTGCTTCCTTTCCCCTGCCCCCCACGAAAGGGCAAATGTTACTCAGCTTTGCAATGCCCCCTCCAAACTTTTTGCAACATGGAGATCCAACATCACAGCCTGCAAATGAGGCTCCAAAATGATGGGAGCTGATCTTCAGGTGTTGGAGAATCTAAAGTCCCAGTCTACACTTGGTCTTGATGTTCTTAGTGGCAAATGAGTATCCACCTAACCATCATCGCAGAGTCTGGATGAATGAAATAAGGATTGCAGAGCACAATGGAAATTATTGTTGATGTGGTGTTTCCTCTTCTTGCAGTTGGAAGAGGAAGGCAAGCTGTTTTATACGCTGGATGATGGCCACACCAGATTTTCTGATCTCATTCAACTAGTGGAGTTCTACCAGCTCAATAAAGGCATCTTACCTTGCAAGTTGAAACATTACTGTGCCCGAATTGCATTTTAACCAAAATGTTAACACCTCACCAAAGCCTCGTAGGATAGAAAGGCTGAATGTTCCTTTTGACAAAGAAGTTTTGTAAATGAAGGGCGTAAACAAAAAGCCAGTGAATGTAAATTTCAGCTTGCAAAGAAGGATTTGTATTCACCATAGCAAAACAAAATCCAGTACTTTCGTGTTAGAGTTGGCTAATCAACAGTTGATCTTCCACAAAATGAATCTGAAGCTGAAATTGTAACGCTGCAATCCTAGGGAGTATTTTTCAAATGCCAATAAATGTCTTTTTCACTAGTTTCCTTTATCCCTTTCAAGGTGTGTCTCATTTTAAGGCAAATCCTTTTTACACAATTATTGTAAAATATAAAAAAGACGCAAACGTGGTGGGGTGCAGTGAGACCAATCGGCATGCCACACATTTTTTGCACTGTATTTTTGGATTCTGTTTCAAAGTTTACCAGTTGAATCTTCAACAGATTTGGAAAATGGGGGGAGTAAAGTGACAAAATTTTGGGCAGTAGACTGGCGCACACTTCTGTTCTTTTTTTCATGGAGAGATCATGCGTGAACAGAAGCACACATTTGTGGAAAGGGTGAGGAGTAATGACGTCATCCAATGATGTTCTTTGTTGGGTCACCCACTGCCGCTGGTGTGAATAATAGTGTGACATGCTGGTATATTGCTCAAAAAGCCACAGGTCCATAACACAACAAGTAAAGGTAAAGGTAAAGGGACCCCTGACCATTAGGTCCAGTCGTGGCCGACTCGGGGGTTATGGCGCTCACCTCACTTTATTGGCCGAGGGAGCCGGCGTACAGCTTCCGGGTCATGTGGCCAGCATGACTAAGCCGCTTCTGGCGAACCAGAGCAGCGCATGGAAACGCCGTTTACCTTCCTGCCAGAGCAGTACCTATTTATCTACTTGCACTTTGACGTGCTTTCGAACTGCTAGGTTGGCAGGAGCAGGGACCAAGCAACAGGAGCTCACCCCGTGGTAGGGATTTGAACCAGCGACCTTCTGATCGGCAAGTCCTAGGCTCTGTGCTTTAACCCACAGCGCCACCCGCGTCCCTAACACAACAAGTACTACAACAAGTACTTCAGCATGAACAGAACGTTAGCAAATGGGACAGAAGCACTTGTATTATATTCAGGGAAACCTAATGCAATATTCCCCTCATCTTTTTTGTTTCTGAAGCATCGGGAGGCACTCTCTTTTTTCCTTCAGCCCTGCGCTATCATTCCCTCTCTTTCCCCCTCCCCGGCCTAGCTCAACTCCTTGTTGCTGGAGATTTCTCTGAAGCCACCAAGACAGGACATAACAGATATATTTAAATACGCACGCAAGCTTTCAGAGGTTAAACACTTGATGGTCTGTGCATAATCAATGTGTACGGTAGACCAATTATGATAGCTTTAATGAAATGCATGAATATTTAAAACTTAATGGATCTGACTTTGTAGTCGGCCTTACAGCCCTTTCTTAAGACATATGAACCAATGGTAAATGTTGGCCTCAGGAGGGCAGCAGCGTGCTGTGGAATTTGTAGAAGGTGCCATTGTTTTCCTGTCAGCTCCCAGAAACAGCTGTGGCTTCCTGGTCTCTGCGCACCTTCCGAAAACCCAGCGCTTTTTCTCCCTATAAATTATTCACTTGTTCTGTACCAATTAGTTCTACCAGTTGCAAGGTTTGTTATCAAGTTAAGCTTCAAGACAGAACCTGAATTCAATGAACGATTAAATATTTATTAACACAGATGATTAAATATGCAGATACTCTGTGAAGCTTGTTCTTGGAACCATTCTATTACCTTTTTCAAAAAATACTAATGATTTGTATAATTAATTTTTTTATATATTAAGTGTGTGTGGGGGGGAGCCTGAAAGATTTTATAAAAGCAGAACTGAGAGAGTTTTCAGGGGGTCAGAGGGTTGCAGGACATTAAAAGGAAGACTGTGAAATGCTACGAAGGTGGGGATCCTATTCAAGGCCCCAAAGTTAGTTAATGACTCACACACACACACACACACACACACATTTGATTGTTCTCAGATGAGCCCCTTGGGAAGCTTTCCCTATGATCGGTGCTAATTGTTCCACTGTTTAGCAATTTTTGAAGGTGGCTCATTTCATTCCATCGCAATTCATACTTCAGAGAGGCAAGAGAGAGAGAGAGAGAGAGAGAGAGAGAGAGAGAGATACACTTACATACGTAACAGTACCTACAACTCTAAATGTGTATCTTTTTTTCTGTCACCACCTTAGCTTTTACAAGTAGAAGAATAGTTCTGGGGGATACCAGTTCTTGGAGTGATACAATTTTTAAAAACATGTTAGGAATCCTGTAACACTGCCATATTCTTCTGATCTGTCGTAGGTCTTACAAGTTCCATGCTTCGTCTGTCTTGGCAGCTACACCTTCTCATCTCAGAATAAGGTAGAACTATAAGTCTAGTCCTAAGAAAATCAGAATATTTCTTATCAGATCTCGAGGGGAGGGGGAGCTCTATATTTTTTACGTTCACAACGGGGTCTGCCAAATTTCCTAGCCTTTATCCCGTCAAGTCACGTGTCGCCAAATGTCTCCTTTAAACCATAATTGCTTTTAACAGGAGCGGAAGAACTCCTGCACCCTTTGAGAAGAGTGAGGGTGGGAAGATTATGGGATGGGGGAGGGAATGCCCTCTCTCAGGCACTTGCAATATCTGTACTGCATTTCACGCTTTGGTTCGCTTCACCATCAACTTTTCGAGAGAATGCTTTGCAAACAGCTGCTAACAGGCGAGTGTCACTTACATATTTTGATTGATTGGTTTCCATTCCAAACACTTTGGGATAGATCACAGTGCCAGCAACAGACTAGCCTCTCTGCCTTCAGGTTCCAGTGCCAGGAAGACACGAACAGGCTCTTTTCATCCGAGTTTCGTAATGCTGCTGATGTAACAGTATTTGTACATTCAGATATGGAAGCTGTTCTGTTGGTAGCCGCCCAGAGTGGCCGGGGAAACCCAGCCAGATTTGGGGGGGGGGGATAAATAATAACATTATTATTATTTATGGTGACTAGCCCAATAACCATCTACTAGCTGAGGTTAAATAGGAAATAGCATATAGTTTTAAAAGCTGATTTTATGAATTACTAGGCAGCTTAAACAACAGGAATTGCAGGAGGAACAAACAGGCAGTTTTCACAATGGAGGAGAATAGAAAGTGGGCTCCCTCAAAGATATATATTGGAATTGGTGCTATTTCACGTACTCATTCAGAGCCTAATTTTGTGGATGATGCCACTTCCGGGGTGGCGCCACCGGCAATGGCGGACTCCCTCTGAACTGGAGGGACTAGCTCCGCGGGAAACGGGTCTTCTCCGCTACGGCGAAGCGGGGACCCTTTTAAAAATCACAGGCGGATGAAGCCTGTGACCATGGGACTCGGCGGGCACCATTAGCGCCCCCCCAACCCGCTAAGGAACCCACTAGCGGGCTCCGAAGTGAAGAGGGGGAAGTGGCGCAGTGCTGTGAGTCAACTGCTATTTCCGTGGAGCAAAGCCACATAGCCGTTGCCAGAGAGCGCTGCCTTTTTCCTGGGACAATTTGGACTTTAAAATAAGCACCCGTGAGTACTTAGACTTTGAACAATTGGACATCAAATAAGGACTAACGAGCAGAAAAGAATTGGATTTTAAAAACTTACTCTAATTTGGTATGGAACAGGAAGGTCTAAACAGGAAGTCAGCCTTCCGTTCCTTTGTAAACAGAATAAAGCAAAGACAATTTAAACTAGAGCTCAGAAAATCGTCTTTAAAGGATTGGATTTCACCATTTAAAATTGTGGAACCCCCCTTCGACAGCAGGAGATCTTTTTGGACTGTTTAAAGTGACTTTAAAGTAAAGTAACTTTCCTCCGTCCTGATCCTGGAGCGGGGTGTCAGGACTGACGTTTCAAGTTCATTGACCAAAGACAAGTGTTTTTGACAGATAGCTAAAAGAAGAGAAACATAGTGATTTCACTGTTCCCCTTCGCATTTTAAAGGAATATATATTGACAAAGTATCTCAAAAAGAGAAAATTTGTTGCAAGAACAAATAGAAGTTTTCCCCTAGAGGAGTCTGTGAAACTGTAACCAACTCCAGGGAGCCGGCAGCTGTTACAGATTACAACCGTGGGAACAGGCATCTGACCTTGCAGGACAATGTATTCAGAAGCTTTGTTGTGTGCTCTCTATAAAACAAATGCCCTACTGGAACAATTACACGAGAAGGTGAATTGGATGGCGACTTCGACTAGAAATTTTGAACAGGCAGTGGGAAATTTTGAACAGACAGTGGGAAAATATGTGGAGCCCACTCAGGAATTAAATCAGGAGTGTGTCTTGACAGAACAGGCCCAACAGGAATATGAGTTTTCGGATTTGACAAATGAACTTGGAAAAAGCCAGATTTGGAAAGGAAAAGTATGGTTTGGCTTGGAAATGGGGGGCTGGATTGACCCCCCTATGCTGGGACGTTTGGACTTTTCAAATATGGCAATGGGCCGTGAGATGTTTGGGTTTGTGGGGGCTCTTAATTTTGGAGGGTCTTTGAAACATGCTTTTAAATACTACATGGAATTCAGTGTTGAATATGGAAAAGGGGCTGATCTGTCGAGAAGGGTTAAGAACATTGTCAAGCTGGAGTTACCACGAGCAGGAGACAATGGAAAATACAGTTACAAATATGAAAAAGAGCTGCGGAAGGGACATGGAATAGACTTGAGGGCCTCGGATATAAGGTTGCCAGGTTAATGGGCTAGATCGACGGGATAATAAGGACTGACAAAACCCGGAACCAGGAGGAAGGGACGTTGGATGAAGATTGGATTTGTTTGTATCTCTTTTCTCTACCATTGGAACTGTTTTATAAAATTGATGAATGTTAGAAAAATGTTGGAATGAAATTACTTGGCTTTAGCAAAGATGTTTAAAGAATTATGAAAGAATATTATGGTTATGAGAAGTTGGTAAGGATAAGATTTAAGTTTTAAGCTTTAAGGTTTATTTTATAGAAAGATAAGATTAAAACAGTTTAGGGTAATGTAATGACAGAATATTATGAAACATGGAAAGGATTTGCTGGGATAATTAATAACTAGGATACAAAGAAAGGGAGGAGGAGGAGGTCTAAGAAAGAAGGCAATGACAGTTAAGGATTTGAAAATAACAAATTTGTTTTTAAATGTTTTTAACGGTTTGTGATGTATTTTTGTATTTTTCTTTTTTTCTGTGACTTTTCTTTTTTTCTTTTTGAATTTTTACTCATATGGTG